TATATATATATAGCTCGAGTTGAGAAAAAATCTTACGTATACGTAGTTCGACGCGTGCCCAGTGAGCATCTTTTACTATAATAGACGAATACGTAATAGTCGTCTGACTCGATCGCGACGGAGCTGGTATTCTTCCTGACGTCAATACTACCTACCTTTGGTTTTCTATAAGGAGGTTGTGCAATTCCACGAACGTGCTGTACGGAGATCGGCGAAAGTTTGGATAGTAGAACATTGTTTGTATTATTTGCTTGAGCACCTTGCAGATGCCCCCGTTTCAGACACCGACGCACAAGGCTCAAAAAGGCCAAGCATTAACATATTGGCAAACAAGTAGTAAGCGTAATTCAAGTAAGTGAAGCATACGATAGGTACATATCCCTTGATAATTGGTATCTAATAACTCACGTTTTAATAATCTCTTTCTTACCAGCTACACTGAGCGTCGATGCAAGACCAGTGACCTTTGAGGGTACGCTGCAACTAACCTTATGTCTGATGCAAATAAAAAAAAAATGTCTCGATTTCCTGTGTTATTCATGCGCGCATTTAAATATTACTGCTCTCCAAGGATCTACGTTTTCGCCTTGAGCTCGCAGCAACGGAAGCCCTCAAGATGAGCCCTAGAAACTAGAAGCAAAAATCCTAGGAGGCTGATGAGTATTACCTTGCCTCGGGTGCTTCATTATAACTTCTGCAGGACATCAGGTTTGACTAATCCTGACGATACGTATAAATGTTTCAGATGCGTGAATATTCGCGATAGATGTTACGCCGCTCATTACCCCCAAGTACAACCGCTCGGATATCTGGAAACTGTTTCAGATTTGTTTTCTAAGCGCAACAAGACTAGTATTAACGAAATCACGTAAATTGTTTCAAATGGTTCTTCCTCCCCACCCCATCTGACATCAAATATGATGTTGCTGACCTGTATTTACGAAGTTTTTGACTATTGTTGGCAAAGCTGAATAAATAAAATGAGGTCAAATTTGAATACCACTGGTGCAGCGAGAAATCAACTATGGATGCAGTTTTCTAGAAGTCATTCATCTTGAGTTGAGTGCCAGGATATCTGAAATGATGCCAAATGCACCTCGAGAGAAACCCTGTTAGTGTTGAAAAAGTCCCTCTTCACATTGAAGATAAAAGGGCTTAGGTTAGTTCCGCCTTGCCTTTACGGCAGTACGATGCCACATTAAATTGAAAGCCTTACATGCATCTAGAAATGCTCTTATCACTACATCCTCACCACGAGCTCCAGATAAAAAAAAAAAATCATAAATATCACCGAAGGCGATTTAACGACAAAAACTAATTTTTTATCGAATGTCCGTAAGCAGAACAGCCCTTTCTTCCGCCTGCGCTGAAATTTTTGCTCTTTTATGCAGAGCTCGAGTAACTTAAAATTTGTGTTAAAATTTGTGAGCGCAGCTGTTTGATGTTAATTCTACCCAATTCAATTGGGTTAATTTCGACCTACCTGTTTTTCCCTGGCATTACATGGTAGCTACGCCCTTATAGGACTACTGGAAAACTTATTGTCAACTAGACACATTGAGCGATGAACGAAATTGCATCAATAAATACTTTACTTCTAAAGTATGTAATTTCATGGATAAGGCCCTTTGCCTCTTTGTATTTTGACGACTTTTCTTTAATTGATGTATGATAAAAAGGGCGCTCGCTATAAGCGTAGCAAACGATCAAGAGCCTCGCCTGCTGTAAGCAAATATCTATATCTCTAATGAGAGTGCTGTCATAGATTTTTCTTTTTGCTGCTCCCAACGATTCTTGCTGTCTGAGGCTCCCTAGGTCTGTCGACTTCAAAAAAATGAAGGAAATTTTCTGCTCGAACAACTTCAATCGGAACCTTCCAACTCATTTTTTCCAGAAGTGAATATCATAATTTCTGATAAATTAATCAATATGGTTATTTATATTTTCTAGACATGAAGAACACTTCCCATCAACGGAGTTCATCAAGTATCGGAAAGGCGATAATCTTCAGATTATCGCCTTTCCGTAAGAGGTAAAACACCCGAGTTAAACTCCGACAATTTTTCGCGAGTCACAATATGTATGAAGTCGGGGGATGCCATAACGAAACTTATCTCCTTTATTCAACACAGCGAAACGCTGTTCTTGAATTTACTGTCTTAAATAATTAGCTGCTTATAGTACCTGACAGGGTTAACTGGCTAACTTTTCAAAATGGACTCCTCGAAGAGCACTCCCCTGCAATCACACCAAATACACAACATAACCTTCCTTGGATAGGGTCCGGCTTTAGCTCTCGTTCAAAAGCTAACACCACGCTTTGGCCATGATCTATTATGATTAGTGTTGTTATAGATTAATCATTTCTGTTGATCCGTTATAAGGTTGGGTTATTGTGGCCCACAGATTTCCTTGCGAGTCTAGGTCGCACTTAGCCTTTTCCAGAAGCAGAAATTTAAAACTGACCTTAATTACACTTTCGAGATCTCTATCTCTGAGTGTTTGTGCAACTTAGAAAAAAGAGAGGTACAATCGAATCGAACAGGGCCTAGATCAGAAACTAAAGAAAAGGTCAATGAAAAATTAAAAACAATCCTGTAAATGAAATAGAGAAAAAAAGTTATGGGAAAAATTCAAAAAAGACTAAACGGAATTGTCCGCCTCAAAGCTAGAAAACAGCCGCTTTTCTTTTCTCGTCTGATAGCTATCTAAACACGTAACAGCGCTCCGTTGGCATTTGATTCCTAATTCCTTATCCTTGTTTTGCCTAGGACGAACCTTATGTATTCTTCATTTGTTTATTGTTCTGCAATCTTGTGCTCGTAACTGAAATATGCGTGTCATCCACGAATCACAATATTGTAATACTACTAGTATAAAATGGCAATGTACATGCCGAAAATGGGTTCCGTAATTGTATCATGTAACGCTTTGTGATCTTGTTTTTTCTTATTTAGAGCTAGTCCTGTTCGGTTTTGGTAAGAGGCTCAATGAAACTGTTTTCGATTAATTAAATATGAGTCCATACATTTATCTAAACCGAAACAAGGTAGTGTTTGTTGCTCTTACCTAACGCCGCCGAAAGCCTTCCTAAGATTTGGAAATGCCACAATTTTCCTATAGGTCTCTAACAGTAGTTACCATCGCATTTTGATTCGTTTAATCTACATCGGTTGCTATGGGTAGCTTTGATTCTGTGTAGAAATCAACTTGTACGTAAAGTACAAACAATATTTTACGATTATATATATTAGGATAATATGGTAAAATATAATAATATAGGATAATATGATGGAAATGGCGACGAGAAGCGCTTTAAACGAAGGTCCTTCTCCTCGCCTATTATAAATATATAATATTTATAATAATTTTCTAAATATCTCAGGAAAGACGCGTTGACTAATACACCGTTTTTACAGATGTTATAGACGATAGTCCAACGTGTAATAGTTTTATGATGAAGCTCGCTATGCGATCATTAAATACTGCTACAAAATATTTGGTTCGGTAGCAAATTTCACCAAATAATTGCTGCAATTTATGCTGCAAAAACTAAAAAATGAAAATGATAAGTTAGGCTCCCAATGTATCTGATTGACAGGTAAGCGCTTCCAAGCCTGCATCTAGTTTTATCATGTATGGATTGACGCAACTTTCCGAGGATCCTTCCCTTGCGCATATCCTTAAAAGCTCACTTTGTTCTTGTAACCAGTGTATTTCTCCTTTTTATTTTGAATATTCATGATTAAGCTGAATTGTGTTATTATATTCCTAGCAGAGATCCTGCTTCGCTTAATTAAAATGCGTCCCTTGCAGCAAATAGTTCTGCTATTTTTGATGATTGTAACCCACATAGGGTGCAAACCCACATCGGGACCCACAGTACTTGGTGCCATTTCATATTACCTATTGAAATCAGCCGAGAGACATTTGTCGAGACCAAATACGTCACTATGGCAGGACTTCCTTTCGACAACCAAAACCTGAATAAAAAGCAGTATATTACTTTATTGATATTTTATTTTATAAATATATATATATATATATGTATATATATATATATTTGTGTATAGAATCTGTGACGACAGGTAATTAGCGGTCGAAGTACCTAAATACCGTAACAGATGTTTTTTATGACTAGACAGATATAAGCACTATAGGTCTGCAACAATGGGCAGCCTCATAATCAGAAGTCTTTAAACGAGTACGTTTCTGTTTGGTCCTCCTCGAATACAAGCTCTGGTGGATCATTGAAACAATTTTCATCTGGTACCTCGCCATTGAGAATGAGTTTGTACGCACGAATGAAGCCAGGTGATGAATAAGTAAACAATTGCTGCTCTTCTGTAGTATCCTCAAACTGGTTCGACCCGAATAAACGCATTCGTTTCCAATCAGCAGTAGGTGATGCCTGCAAATTAAAGATAGAAGATCGTCAGGCTAACGGTAAGTTCAATTATAGCCTAGGTTTGTTCATTTACAATTGATCGAGACTTGTTTTATCAACATTTGTCTCAATTTCTGTTCGTTTCTAGCCGTAATCTGTTAAGAGTATGGGCCTTGCTACCTTCTAAAAACTGCCAACCCAATATACGATACTGCGGTTAACACTGTTGCCTATGAAGCTCTTCCAACATAAGCTGTGTTTGGTACGTTACTGTTTAGGTATAGTTCGACGAGCTGTTTTTTTTTGTAGCGGAGTGGGCTTCTGACCCGCATTTTATTGGCCGGATACACTCACCTGTGGCGATTCACTGCCGGTTATAAGATCTGTACGGGACTGTCGGGCTGTCACAAACGTGACGGGATCAAACTGCATTAATGTATTAGCTGTCTGGACCCAATACCAATCCTGACCCAGAAAGAATGGGTGCCGAAGGAATTCATGGTAAGATCTCGAACATAATCGATCTGTAAAGTGGTTAATTTGTGTATTGGTATAACGACAAACAACGTGGTAAAATGCAGTAAATCGTGTGCATTCAATGGTCTAAAAAATATAAAGCCAACGCCATTTTTTCTCTCTTTCCACAACCTCTAGCTAAACTCTTTTGAGTGGGTTTTGATGAGCCTCTTAAGTTTAGTTAAGTGGTGTCCGTGTACCTTTAGCCTTGGCGTTAAGGCAGTGCGCAACGAGATCCCTAATTTCTCTGGAATAACGCTGATATTTGGGCCACTCGTACTTTCCAGAAATTATAACTGCCTTCATGTGCTCAACGTTTCTGCGAAGAGCGAAAGGAAGTTTCCCTGTGACAAGTTCGTAAGTTGTCACACCCATCGACCACCTTCAAGCCCGTAGAAAACATGAAAAACTATTTAAGATACGTCCAAGTTATTAGACATGATTAATCTCACTGTTTCTCATGATATTTTTTTCTTAAAAACAATTATAGCGTGATTGACCAAGCGATTTAAAAGTATGCACGCGATCATATAGATCGTATTCGGCTCATATTCGAACGAAATACGCCTATATAAAGCTGTTTACCAACCAGTCAAGCGCTCGCCCGAAACCAGCATTCGTGAACATCTCCGGAGCCATGTAAGGAAGGGTGCCAGCCATCTCGGTTCCTTCAAATTCTTTGGCAGTTTTCTGAAGCCAGCTCCACATCTTCTGCGAATTGTATTTGCCGACGCAAACTCGGGCTGTATCAAAATCGATCAACTTCACCCGGCATCCGAACGTGATCATCATATTTGCCGGCTTCACGTCTCGATGAATAAAGCCTTTGCGGTGCATATGGATAAGAGCGAGTCCAAGCTGAGAAATAATGACTTTGACAAAATTTTCAGAGAGACGAGTACTTAGTTTTAGAAGACGGATAATATCAACACCACGAATATATTCCATGGCGGTAACGTACGCCCCTTTGACAAGGAAACACGCGTAGTACTTGACTAAACAGGGGTGATTGATCATGCATGCGACGGTCTTGTCTGCGACTGCAGCTGACAACGACGGAATTGCCGTGGTAGGTACAAATTTGACGACGCAAGCACTTTCTCCCATGGACGCTTTGTAGACTGCCCCAAAACCCCCAGCACCGAGTAGACGATCCAAACTAAAATAGGCGACCTTTGCTGTGATATACTCGGCATCCAATGTTACCATTTCAGATTCTTGCTTAATGAATCTCGCAACTTCGTCCCAGTCGGTTGGTTTGCATTCGGCGAATCTTTCCGCTTCGTTAATAAGGTCTTTCATCATCGGGATGATTAGGAGGAGGTCAGCCACCAGTGTCTGCCAAAAGTTAAAGAGAGATATGAAAACCTCTACGCGACAGCCGAGTTCGTTGTAGTGACTCTAGTCCTTTTTTCGAAGATGAAACAAAGGAGGAGCGAATTACTATTAGGTTAACTACGGAAAATTTGCTAATAGTGGTAGCATATCTACCGATTATATATGCCTGCGTACACGCAAGTCCTCGACAAGAAAAAAGCTTTAGCTCAATGGTAAACAGTATCCGGCTACCCGGCCATTACCCCACTTTACCCGGAATGCCGCGATGTCTTTCGTACTCAGAATATACAAAAGGCTGTGAAGGTTTTCTAAGCCCTCGCGTAGTTCCTGAACGGTCATCGTATTGCGAGAGCAGTTCCACATAATGTGTTGCATAAACAAAATGCACTGATCTTTGACGTAACGCTGCGCAGGATACATTTGGAAATCGTACGCGAAGTTCTCCTGCATGTACTTTGCCATCTGAGCTCCCGTTGCCTTGAGCAAACTGTAAAACGCCAAATCAATATGAAACATTGAAATAAAGATAGCTTGCTGGCTGGACGTTAATCTAACTCGACGTTTAAGCTCGAACTGTAACCGAGTGCAATTTTCCTGGCAGGCCGGAATCGACGTTAGGCAGAAATAAAATGTGTGAAATGCATATATTATATATAAGTACACAAGAATATAATGTCAATAGATCGATTATATATGATCATATATATTTACATTAATTAGATAATGAAATATCTGTCATTCACTTGTATCATGCTGGCACAAGCCTCCCCTGTACACGTACGGGCTGCTGCGGGTAGTGCCAACATCCCTGCGACTATAGCGAAGAACTTGGCTTACTCTGATCGATTTTGCTTGACGTCGGGGTAGATATTACTGAAACGGCTCCGTACTGAAATCAGAAGAATATCGAAACACTGAGCTTATTTCGTTCCTACTTAATTAGTATCGAAATGTTATTAAATAGGCTTAACAAAAGTGCACATTTAAAATTCTGCATTTATTTATTAAGATCGCAACGTTAGCTATTACACACACTCATTGAATAATTGAATTTTTTTTGCGCGGTGCTTTACTCACAAGCCGATGCGCTCACAACAGGTGGTAGGGACTATCAGTTATAGTCAGACACGTTACTCATTCCGTTACGGAGCCACAAATCAATGTGAAAGATTCTAGAACTTGCTATGAAAGAACTATATTTTCAAATACAGCCACTCAATTTATTGTTTGAATAACAGGTTCTTAATAACATCTAAAGGCAGTTCGTAAACTAAACTTCTCAAACGCTAGACCTTTACTACGATTGGACAATTAATATAAACGGCCGTATATTTGTTGTAGTATTTTTATTTCGAAACATGTTTTATCTATTTTCTAACGTTAAAAATTGGTGTAACTTGAAAAATGTAGGGCGAACAAGTAGGCGACGAATGTTTAGACCAGCGTTTCTCAGTTATTCTCTGGCGGTCACGCGTTTGCCGACAATTGACGTTTTAAGCAACCCAGGGAGCGCCACGCCATAGCTTATGTCACAGCGCAAACATATTTCGTTTATTAAGATCAGAGTGTTTTAGAGGGGATGTAATTCAACTATATTTCTACCTAATTTACCTTAATCAGTTAAGATTCGACATTAAATTTCGCCATGAACATTCTATCCTACTCTACCAGAGATTATTCACTCCACCAAAGCAAAGGCAGGGGAACGAGAAACATTTTGCGGCCTCTGACGCATCCAGTTAGCGCACTAACGAGGAATCCAGTTTCCAATATGTACCGACGATTAGCTATATATTTATAGCAGGTCAGTTGAGCTGTTCATGCGGCTCCAAGATGATGTCTTGTTCGCATTGTCACCTCAACAAACTTCCCGCCAATTAGACGCTCTCTTAGTGCAACTCTCCCCTCCTCTCTCTCTCTCTCCCTCCCTTCCTCTCTCTCTCTCTCTGCCTCCTTCCCTCTGTTTCGCTCCAGGCGAGAGCATCATTCAGGTTTTCTTATTTAATCCGTGTGTAAGCATTAGTTAGTTTCCGATATCGGTCTGGAAGAAGACGAAAAATAGAAGTGTGGCCTTACCTCCGGCGGCGTCCTTGGCTTTTCGAACCGCTTCAAATAGTAACAATTTTGTAGACTCTTTTAGAAGCGTCATGTCAGTGGAGTTGTTGTCTCGTTAAGATTTTCGTTGTCACATACAAGTAGCGTTCGACTTAATGTTTTCGTGCCGATAACAACACTTAGAAAAACGCTACCGCTGTCAGTGACAGGTAGGATATGTATTTCTCTAGTTGTAGGCTGGTTGGTGGCGTTCTCTACGAGCGCTTGGCACTATGGCTGATGTCGATATGCACGAATGATGGTGAGGTCATCAATGAAGAACCGGTACAAAGATAGCATAGCAATGTAACTGTAATGATTATCCTTACTTAGTATCTTCGAAATTGACTACTGTTGTCCAATTTTGAAGAAGACTTGAACCAACAAAATTAGAGATTCCAACGCAAAAATCTTATTTTTAATTAGGCCGCTGCTTGTTAGGTATTAACTTCAGTTGGACCGCTAACTATAACATTACTTTTCCTTATTTGATTCTGTATGGCGCGCGAACAACGTGCAACTATCCACTGTTTTTTTAATGATGATTAAATAGACAAAATGAATTAGAGTGAGCGTGCAGTTGTTAGTGGCGGCACATGGCGACTATACGATTTGAGAGCTGGATGAGAGATTCGAACTCCGGTGACCTAAATGCATGGTGCTGGAAACATGTCAGGTTTACACTAAGCCTATGTATTTTTTTTTTTTTTTTTTTTTTTTTTTTGATATACAGCCCATGCCGAGACGAGCACAAAGTTATATCTAGCTGTTTCAAAGAACAAGCGAAAAATCAATTTTCGGCACTATAGCAAACTACTACAGGAAAGGAGCGTGGGCAAGCCGAATCTAAATATCTATGGTGCAGTTATTTTTTGTAAGGGCTGCAACCGCCCAGCATCGATGGGCAACAATGCCTGCGAAGCAATAGGAACAACCAAACCGTAGGCGTTATTAGATGCAGTATATACTTCTAAAAATGATTTTTTTTTGTTTTTATATGAGACGGTTTCCTATGTACATTAATACAACACTGGTTCTTTGTTCTGCAAGCAGTTCTTAAGACCCACATCTTATGGCGGAGGTTTCTCAGCTGTTCAATAGCCTTCAATAGCTAAAAATATCAAACCTTTCAAGATTAACATTATTCGATTATTTGACATCAGGCCCTCAGCGCTTGTATCTCAACTGAAAGCCTTCTGGGGAAGGGTTCTGTGAACCAGGCTTCAAACCGAAAGTTCAACAAACAGTCCTTCGAGGCTAATTGCCAGTGTTCTCTTTATTCAGTTAGATGGGTTTAGCCGTACCTGAGTTCGAGAGATAAAAAAATTCTACCTTCGTCAAGCAGGTAGGCTCGAAATGTTAATTAATTTGCACGTTAAATTCATTAGTATTATTAAAATTAAGTAGGCTCAAAAATAATTACATTTACTATACTTATAAATACGTTTTCGCTTTATCTGGATGTATGATTTCCTTTATTTGGCCATTTATGGTTCATCTTTATAGTAACTTAGTTTGTTATTTTCTATTGGCTGGAAAAAAAGATCGCGCGCTTCAAAGATGCTTATTCTTATTACCTGCTATAACTTATTATTCATTTTTGCTACACAGTTTAAAAGGGTTCCGTTTACTCTATCAGCGTGCTATAACGGTACAGCGTTTTGGACGCACCTCGAGCTCCTCAAACGTGGATGTTCTAGGTGAAAAGAAATGATTTAGTAAAGATGTCTACTAAAACGTAATTGGAACAATTTGCCTTTCGTACAGTAAACTCGTCAAAAATGGTTTAAGTTTAAAAGTGGTATCTGCTACCCAACTAATACCCAGTAGATTAAGTAAGAAGTTAACCGTCTGAGTCTGATGAAAATCATTTGAAAAAACTTCCGAGAAAAGTTGGCCGACAGACAATAAAACCGAGGCTGAAGCTGTACCATCTACATTAACTCTTTAAATCCAACAAGGAATTACGGATTAATGCTGCATTTCAACAACAGTATCGAACGCTACGCGGCCACAAAGACCGATTTTTGCGCAAAAGGTCAGCGGTGGTAAGGAGTAGCGTCTGTACGCCAACATGAACCAGAGGTTGGAATCACTGGAATTAGACGTACATTTACAGGGATAAAAATGTGATGTTTTCCATGTATTAAGCGAGGACTTCCTTTTTTTTTCTATATATATGCGTGTGTGTGTGTGTCTATATACATATAGTTGAAATAGGTAGGTCTTACGAGGCGTTAGCTTCGTTAGAATCGCTCAAAACACTGAAATGTTTTGTGCGCGCTCATAAATAACAAAAAAATGAATTGAACGCCTTATGCACAAAGCACCGTTAGACGGTGCATGCGTGTACCAATTATCACATGAGCACATAAATACTTCCCTTAAGCCCCTCGCGATCGCCTAACACCCTACAAACATTCCATTAAGATTATGCAATAAAGGAAGCATTCACTGCCAAAATTCAGAGCTTGTACATCTGAATGTTAGTCTACCAATTGACATAAAGCCGCTCAATGGGCGGATAGCAACAAAAGGGAGACAAGGTTTGTCGGCACCACTACCCCCGGATGATACACAAATTTTGACGATACAACCTCGATGCTTATTATCTGCTTAGTACGTTCGTTTCAGTTGCCATTTCCAAAAGACGTGCATGTTAGCGTTTCGGTCTCCTATCTCCGTCTGTATAATCGTTTTCCTGATCAGTGGTTTCCACCAGTGTAAATTTGAGGACTGCGCTAATTCAAACATCGGATCTCATTCAATGTAGATGAAGGTCATCGCACTATCTATATGCTGTGTGTTGAAGGACGTTGATCAGCCGATCTGGCCGCAAGGGCTCCCGAAGGCAAGTCATCTCGAGTTCGACTGCTGCGCAATTCGAGGGGCCATGAAACGTGACTTTGGCCGTTTGAGCCCTATAACGGCACTGGCGGCAGCAGCAGTAGTAATATTTCTAGCTATTTCTGCTACCAGTCCAATAGGCACCAATATGAAATGATCACAAAATGCCGACATTAGCAGCACGCGAGATATTACGCTTGCGCTTAGCCATTTTGACTGAGGATAGAAATAGACTATCTCTGCTTCGGCAAATTTTCGTCTTTCCTCCTTACGTCTCATTCATAATCAATGTTTGAGATAACATAGATCGTAGCCCGTTGTCATCGTTCATATGTTTAATGGGTTCTCTTTGAAGGGCATTCTTTCGAAAAGCGTATTTTTTTCGTATATCGAAAAATACCGCTTATTTGAAGAAGTAAGTTTACGCTTACTAGTGTGTTCTAGCAAGCAAACGTGGAACTACTTCTCTTTATAACAGACTACAATTTTTCAATTAGCTGCTATATTAAATTAGAATGTTATGAGAAAGGGTTATGCAAAGAGCTAATCAAGTATAGCGGATTTCTTATAAGCTGTACAAAAAAAAAAAACAAATGATTAAGAAGGTGCAGTATTGGTAAATAAAATTCCCATGTTACAGCCAGTTTGGTTAAGTTGCGTAAAGCGAACGAACTTATTTATCCGTCTAGTTCTTGAAATCTTCCTGAGAAGCCATTCCTTAAACGATTTCAATCAAAACCTGAATGTTTCCAAAGCCTCTCGTGCACAACTGACCTGAGTTGATCTATGTAAATGAAAAATCAATCGTCTAGCAATATTATTGATATTTTTGACAATGAAGGCCACCTGCCAAATCAGCTGAATGTTTTTATGCGAGCACGACGTATTTCAACCAGGCGTTCAACAGATAACACTTGTCATAAATTTACTTATAGAGGCTAGATTGGTATTTATTTTGGGCATATTTGATATTTTTTATTTATCTAAAATTCTTTGCTGCTAAAGATCTTGTCCAACTTGAACAAAATGCTCTGATGGAATGTTTTATATAGTCATAGGTACGAGGTGTATATATATACATATATATATATATATAGAGACTGACTGAAATCCAATTTTGTGCTCGTCTCTCACATTCATCAAAACGGACGGTGCAGATGCCACGGGAATTTCACCGCTGTAGAATTTAAATACGAGAAACCCATAAATGATGAGTCATTGTGCGAAGGACCGAAGCTTGCCCCGGTTAAAATTGGCTTCATTGATGTATTTTTTTCACTTACTTACGTATATCTGCGCAGTGTACTGGTATGACTCAACTGTATTAATAGTTCATGCCATTTGAGCATCTACAGAGTTTCACTCACTGCGACAAAGCTTAATAATGGTCGATTCCAGTCGTAACGCTGCCCATTTAGAAGCTTAAATAGAGAAAAAGATTCGTTAGCTGATTCGGTTGTTGGACTTCTACTTCAGACGCTCCGAGTTTGTAGAGCACCTCGGCCGCCGGCCTACGTTGGACAGCGCAAGGATACTAGCCTCAGGCAACGTGGCGTAGAAGGTGTTCTGTAAAGAAACAGGGTGTTTTAGTTTGATTGCTTCTCACCGTTCCTACCAGTCTCCGTGTCGCCACCATGAACGAGAAAATCTATTTACAGCGAATGCAGTTATCTAAAGAGGGTAGCCGAACGGTCACTCGTTCTTTCCGTCGAGTCGAAAGGCTGGAAAACGAGCGGAACAGAAACGATTCAAGGATTCGACTTCCCTATCATGGACTTTTGATGGTGCGTCGTATTGCCATACATAAAAGAGCACAACACTCTAGGCTAGCGGAACAGTTAGAATAGCGCCAGTAGTTGCATCTGGTTCACCATCATCGACATATAGTTGCTTGCAGGAATGGCGAACGTAATAAAGGCTGTGTCAAGTGTGTAGTCTGGGGGTTACAGCTGTGGTCGACATTGACGTGCGCTTTTGCGTGGCGAGCGCCGCCTGATAGTGCTCGTGCGATAGTTACTCGTGACTGTGTCTTCTTGAAGGCAAGTTGAGTGCAGGTGGAAGACGAAACGCATACGGCTACCTCTATATCTAACAATATGTTTTCTATAACGTATGACCCATCTTGCTTCATTTGCTCAATTACGAAGTGAGGCCAACGAACATAGAGACCGAGTGGATGAAGGACAGCGAGAGAGAAAGAGGAGACGCGAAGAGAGAGAACCGTAGGTGTCCGCTAGCGTGTACAGTGGACGGGTGTGCACCATACGACTTAACAAGAACTACAGGAGATCCAAAGGAGAGGGACAGCATCATCGCCCTTTCTCACTGATTTGGCCATGCAGCTCGCGTTGGGTGCCCGCCACAGGGTTGCAGGTCAGACATTTAACAAGTTCGAGAGGCACACGACATCTGTCCGAGCATGCTACGTGTTTCAGCTAGCTACCGGATCATATGCTTAATGATGCTGGTATCGGCCTGAAGGTTGCGTTGAGCTATTGACTTCGGACTAGCACTACCGCTGACTAACTACCTAGGCGTCTCTAACGCTGCTACTAGGAGAAACATGTAATGAAGTACTGTGCTCCCCACTGCTTGCCGATTGAAGCTCACACGGGACCCCATGGCGTGTCACTATGGCCGCAATACCAGCCGGTCTGGCTGAGTGCATGACATTGCAATTTTCTGCAATGCACCAAAATTTCAACCTTCTCATGGAAGGCTTCCCAGTGAGGACCAAATACGGACCCATTTTCATTTATATTTGTGTCTTTTAAAAGAACTGCGGATTCGTTTTTGCTCGCTCAGCAATTTTTATACTACTACTACTACCAGCAATGACGTTCCTAATGTACAGATAGCAGTAAAAGTTTGTATACCGACGTGCACCTTTGGTAAGGACGACGATTGGCGTTTCTCAAGACGCCCAAGTGCTGTGTCAAAGACCTCCTGATTTTGAAGACGTAGCCCTTAACGATAGGAGGTGACGACGAGTTGTGCATGTACGTGCTTGGCCGTCGTTCTGTCTCATGTTGTGCTGAGTGGATCTTGCGAGGATGGGCTGTGGGGCGAGTAAGGTTCAACCAAAGGGGGAGCCGCCGAGGGTGACAGCAGATTGGAACCCCGGCACAGGCGATCGGCCTTTTACGCTCGGACAGACTAAGCCCAGTGCCATCATGTGCAACGCCGAAACCCAGGTATGCCAAAACAGATTATAGCTTCGAACAAATAGAACTATACTCATATATAGCATATCCGTTGCGATCTGTTATAACCTTTGGCGAATACCTGGAACCCCCAAGTATTAGCTGGTACTCGATTGAGCTAGCCGTTTTGGATAGAGATATTGGATTTACAATACGCCGAAAGGAACTCTTCGGAAGTTGGGAATGAAGACGTACGCAACGTTTTCTGCCATTAGACAAACTTGCTGGATAGAGATTTGATTAAGTATGGGTCAACATTGAGCTCGTACCGGCTGGTGCCGACTTCTAATTAGAGGCACAAAGCTTGAAACAAGTGCGCGTTCGTTCGCTTGCTGTTCACTAGCATTATCTTATATACACCATATGTTGAAAAGCCCAACTTAGTTTAATAATCCTCTTAGAGTCGCTCGGCAAAAGGAGAAGCTTTACTACTTCGCATCTACGATCCAACATTATGTCCGCAAAATAAGAACCATGCTTATTTATGCACTGGTACATTGCTATATACAGCTGCGGATCGCTAGATCGCTACTAGTAGATGTGAAAGAAGCATAGTACAGAATGTCTATAGGAACTTGTCATAAACGTTTTTGTCATACAGTGTCTATAGATGCTGAATTTGAAACCGTTTGCTATAGGGAACATTGAATTGAATCAATTGGGTCAATGATCAAGTCGGCACTACTCTTATGTTCTTTGTTGTAAACACAGTTTTTCTCCTAGGGGTTAATGTATCTACAACAAGTTGCCCGACTACATGGCTAATATTGCGGGCGTCATGAAACAGGACCATAGTAAGGTAGCTCGGGGTGAAGGTTTGAAGTGAAAGGGAAATAAGTAACTTTGGAGGTTGTATGACAGATGGCACCGGATACTTTCTTATTCGGTCAATTCTTTTAATTTTTGGGGTAGGCAGCAGCAAATAGAACGAGAAAAACCATGAACATACGTATTCTGCTTTTAAGCGGCCTTCGTTCCCAGCAAGCAGTTAGGCTTGACGTAAAGCCTGCAGCTTGTAGCGAGCACAATGTTTATAACGAATTTAGAACGTCTACAGGAAACAGGTCTCACTCCATTAACATAAATGCATTTTCCCATTCACAAAACAATCGTCTATTTGAATGTGATCACATGATCAAAGCGAGTTGTCACTGTGTGTAGCCTAAGAGAGGTTACTGTATTATTGTTATTATTAAAAAAAAATTGTTAATCTAACCTAAAAACCATAGATTGTTTAATGAGTCGGCAAAGCCCGTAAACTATTGGCCCGTTTAGGATTCTAATTCAAGCTCAACAAGTTAGTAGTAGAAACGCGCAGTTTCCTATAACAAAGTAAATTATTACACAAATTGAATTTTCCGTTTAGATCTAATTTCATTAGTCGAGTACAAACGTATGGCCGAAGATTAGAGGAACAACGGAAGTTAGTACAGCCCCTTTATTTCTAGCTAACCCTAGATCTAAACTTTACAAAAGCAAAAATAAACACACATAGCAGATGCCACAAGGTAACACACAGAATCATAACCAAAGTTACCAACGTAAGTAAGTGTTATTTGGTTTAGTTCGATTGATCTATGATTTTTCATACCAAAGCAAAGTTACCTTAACTACGAAACGTTTAGTGAAATAAAAGGCATTCGGCGATATCTTCCGAAATCAAAAAAAAAAATGCTCACATATGTGACAGCTGATTACACGTTTGCATGGAAATACCTCTACCCATTGTTGATACTAGAATCCAATTACGCAACAGTGGCGTAGGCTTTCAACCGTATAAGCTTTCAACTGAACTAGATTTATCTTTGCCGCTTTTGCGTTAAAACAGAATAATTTCGAATATCATATACCAAATTCGGAAAAATACGCCAGACTGTCACTTTTGTTTTGCTTTTTCGTTATCGAAACTGCCGTTCCGTTAGGAGCAGGCAGATTGTGAGTTCGATCATCATATACAGAAGAGTGTGACTACTAAACCTTATCACGGGACCACTGGACGCCGAGCAGAGGCCATGACGCGCCATAAATCAAGACTGAATCCACGTCACAAGCTACTCTCCGACATCCGACCTTGATCAGGCTTTCTGACGATACATTGCTTATTTTGCTACTTTCGAGCTGGCTAGTGGCTTCCTTCATGTATTACGGCCCTTGTTAACACTGGACTCCTATACCGTATTAAAGGTATAATTGATGTGTACCATCATTGCCCTTCTTGTCTCAAAGCAAGTAGCCAGGAGCTTTCTGAATATTCAAGGGCACCTGCGAGATTTTCCTATTCGAGTTATCTCTTTTCGGCGTTCGCTCATTCGCGGTTCGCTTCCACCCTATGCACAGTTCCGACGAAAGCATCGAATAGAGAATAGGACTTTTATTATTTTGAGTATTAGGTAACATCTCGCATGAGCGCTTGCGTTCGCCCGGGCGCAATACTAACATTGAAATGTCGTTGAAATGAAAGCGACTGTCTTCTGACGTATCGCCTGTACGTTTAACGACGGTGAGATTCGCTGAACTCACTCACTCACTCACTCACTGGCCTATTTGCCAGCCGTATTTCCTATAGCTTACTTCTTCCTCTGTCCCTTATATTTTGCTCCACCCGCTTTATGATGGTACAATAAGTAAACTCACTGGGAAATAAGTTTAGCCATTTCAATACGTTATTTTATGCATTGAGGGCGATTGTGATTTTCGTCATTGGACAATGCAGCGTTGGCAATCAGTGTGAAATATAAGGAAAATATGAGCTTAAAAAAGACCATCATATATTTTTTCTATTTCTGTTGAGAATTTAAGCTTCGAATCCCTATCTCACGTAGAGGCTTTCTGATCGAACGGGACTAATAGTAGACTCTGATTAAAATTACGAATATTGAAGTTTGCTTCATACGGACTACAGGGTCAATTGTATTTGTATGAGACCTGCTAGCGGGCCTAAGCTGCATTTTGAGACCAAATTTACCCTATCTTGTTTTTGTGATTTCTGCGTAAAGTCCTAAACTTATACATGTTTATGCTCTTTTTATGCAATTTTCAGAGTGCGCAAAAGGGAGAGAGAATGGGAATTTTTTGAGACGCGTTGTCAGAACATCGTAAGCACTCAGAATATAAAAGTAAAAAACGAAAGAATTATTTTTGGCTCCCTAGTGTTTTTGTCCGTGTTCGTTTTTTTTAGAAGCAGCTAACTTCTGAAGCATATTTTCTCAAGATATTTGATGAAATTGGAAATGAGATAAGGAACATTGTGAAAATATACAAGGCTCAAAGGCCACAAAAAAGTCATGAGCCCCCCGCATCGCAGTGTGAATTCATGTCAAGATGTTACTTTTCAAGGTTAATTTTATAATTCATGTTTAGGATTTTTGGCCTTGGCTTATTCATACAAATTGTATGGTATTTATATATCATCTTATCGATTTTCTATTACGTAGTGTCTAGTCTAATCTAGTGACATCGGATGAGCTTCTTTTTTATGTCACTTGGCTGTAACGCCATTAGAAGATGGTTTACCCCAATGTGTGTTATATTCTGACACAATGTTGGGGTTTTAATTCGGTTTTACCAAATATTTTTATATCTAGATATTCTTGGTGACTAAAACGTACAAATTATTTTATGAATAAAACGGTCTATATATAAAAAATATATCTATAGTCTATATATAAAACTTTCTGGCTGTCATTTTTAAGTTGTTAAAAGTTATTTTACAAAGATAAATTTAGCTTCTTGTTGAACAAAACTTTCAATCCCATTTAAGGATATGCGAAGTAAGAGCTACCCTAGACCAAAAGTAACCTTTCTAAGCTTCACACAGTTTCCAGGGTTACTGGACAGCGTTCTCCTGTTTTGAGCAAGGATGTAATTTGGGAGCCGACGTTAGCAAGATGAACGTTGAGTCTGACGACGTGTCCCTTCTATAAGATCTTACTGTTCTCTTTTCTCCGTACAGGTGTGCATTCTGTATTAAAGTGCCGTGTACAAAAAGAAGAAGCCGTGTACGTACTCCCTTATAAGATATCCCCTAAATTAGCCTTTCTATCTGGACCTTATTAAGGTTTGACAAGACCCTTAATCGGTTGCCGTACAGAACGATGCATATTTCATGTTGTTAACAACAAAGATTCATTCTATATCAACTAGGGAATATAGCGTTTTTTTGTCGCTAAAATGGCGGTACGATGATGATAAGAGGTTTTTCAAGTCAGCAAGTATATACTTTTGTGAATACTTCAGTTTTCTCTGCAGATGGCTTGAGGGTGAGTGCTGTGATAAGCAGATAGATACATGTCCTACTTTTTCTTCATTATTTTAGATACATGGACGTTTTGCGGCAGTATATGTGTACAGTTGTGTCAAGTGTGGGCCCATTTTACCAATAAATTACTAGGGAAGCATCGAATTATCGTTCTCAGCGTAAAAAATGTCGATAAATAGGAAAACATTGAAACATCATGAGATCGTTAACGTCAGTGATTTATATCTTCCGTTGGTCCGGTTTCCAGGCAGCGATACGGGACGTACAAGATCGATGCGTTCAAGCAGATTATCCGGGTTCGTGCTCTTCCGAAGAAGATCTCGTTGAGATAATGTGGTGCAGTGAAGACGACTGGCAACCTTACAGTCATTGGCATTGGGTAGAGGAAATCGTTACCACCACTCACCTTCATCTTAAGGATATCGGAATCATTGACGCCGCTGTACAGACCCTTCGACAGGATCACCATGCGACAAATCGGTGAGTGATTTCTGTTCTATTCAAAATTTTTCACAATTCCAAATAACGGTTTGAAAAATTAATTGTAAGACCTCAGACATGCGACGTTCACCAGCAGTGCGATAATTCCCCGTAATTTTTTTAATTTAACTGCTTATTTCAAAGCCGGGTCCTTCTGCCATTTCAGCTGGACTAGATCTTTGTTGTAGTTCAATATGCGGTATTATCGGTCGCCCTTACAAACAATAAATAAATCCGAATTTCAAGAAAAATGCAAATGAATGATTTTCTTTAATTGCATTTCGTTCTTCGAGACAGGTTAAGCTTAGATAAATTGAAGGCCATCAGATAAACAAAAAATAAGATTTCAATTGCTTCTGGAGAGTGAAATAGGCCTATCGATGCTGATTTAGCATACAGCTTTTCAAAGCAAATATCGAAAGACTTTTAGGGCAAACGTTTTTCCCACACGTTCGCTTCCTCGTCGCTTTAAAAAAGCCCCGTGTTTAAATTAAATGTTAATTACCAATGGCGTTTCACGCTTCCTTCCCAAAAGTTTTAACAACTAGTGTTGGTGGTCATTTATCCGATTCGTAAATCGATTCTGCAATTAGGATCGAGTGTGAAGAAGCTGCGTCTCAGATTGCAGTCTCGGGGCAGCGTATAGGTTCTCGTTCAGATAGCAGAGGGGGTGGGGAGGAAGCCGCTCTACAGATATTATAACTCATCTATGCACGTATATAATTAGATCTATGTATTGTTTTATGAAAGAGGCTAATCAGAGAATAGAGGAACGTGTAAATCTATAGTATTAACATATCATCTAGCAGGATACCGTTTTCCAATTCTTCTAGTCCTATCGAACCCTTTATTATTGCAGGACAGGTAGCTATAAGTACAGGCGTGCAGGACTGTTCTCTGTAATATGTTATTTTTTCAACTCTTTGCAGTAACGATATTGTCTACGGCACGATATAGAGGCCAATTTGAAGTATATTACGAATAAGATGAAGTAGCATCCTTCAACGATTAGTATGTCTCTAACGTCATCTTCAGGAGTTCTACCTAGTCCGCTTTGTAGTGAATTTGCTCACCATTAATTTTCAATTGCTCTCTCAAATATCCCTGTCCGCCTTGATACGGCGGCAGTCAGAATGAGGCTCACGCGGACCTATTTCAAGTTTCTATCTCATAACTTGATTTTTCTTGGAGAAATCACTCTCAGAGTTTATTAGTGTGATCGGGCGGCTATAGGTGCGGCTCCTGCACGCAGGAGAGTTCGCGAGTTCCTATTCAAATGACACATAGCAGAGTCGCCACAAGGATATGATAATCCGATTACTGCATGATAGTAATAACAGTAATAATAATGTAAGTGAAAGGTCACATCGCGTTACGGGACCCTTGCTGCCTTCGGTGCCCCCATTATACTGCTTTGGTGGATAATTAGAGGTTTATAATTCGAGATTAGTACATGAACGCTTCACCCACAGTCCTTTGATCCGTCATTAGCGTTATAATTTGTCGAACAAGACGGCATTTCGAGTCACCTGAGTGATTCCTAGCTAAGTATAATTAGATCGAAGTTTGTCTGTCTGCCGATAGTCAGCATGCGATTCGAAGATCGCTAAATGCCAAACGCTTATAAGAGCCAATTTATAAAAAAATATCTTCAAGCAAAGTTGGCGTCCGTTGTTATTAAGTGACGTCGTATAGTTCTACAATAGCCGACCCGAATAAAAGTCCTAAGTAAGAAACGATAATTGGCTCCTGCTTGCCTTTGTTGACCATCTGCTCGCCCAGAATCATAGTTGTATAGAGTTTACACACTTAGTTCTTGTTGTCAGATGATGCTTCCGGTGAGAAGGCCAATCAGGTTGACAGTTAAATATACATCGTTTGTCACTGTACCCGGATATAATTATGGGTAATAGAACATTTTGTTAGTTGCAATGATAACACATGGTACAGTTGTACACAAACAACTTGGTTTGGTTGGTTACAAATGTAAATGAACTGTTTTTTTTGTTATTCCATTTTGGCAATTGAAAATCTTCTGTTTCATTGACTGCGTTCAACAAAGGCTTCAGTAATAGCTCGGATATTGTTAACTCTGCACACCACTGTAACGTGTACAGGTAAAGATCTACTAATAGTTGTCACTTATCAGCGCAAAAGTTGGAATAGTTAGCATTTCGTAAGATTCTGTTATTGAAGTAAGCAGTACAACACACGATAGAACCTGGCACTATGTTCTATCGGGGCAGGTATGTACGCACAGCAAATAGCATGGTTGGAAAATTTCCCCGGTTTCTCTGATCTGATAAAATCCAAAATTGGACGATACAACCTTGAAATATCTCGAACGGCCTTTCCAAGGTGCAGGCCACCGACCTCATTGGTATTCTTCAGCGGAACGAAAAGCAACTCGGCTCGGTCCGCCAGGCGGCGTGTTGGCAGTCAACTCCAATGTCCGGTTCGCTATCGCTGTCGCGCGCCGGGCCATTACCGCGGCATACAAGGCTCGATGTCGCCGTTGGCATTCACTCATCCACCAACTGCGTACATACGTACTTGTACAATATTTCCTAAGTTCGAGAGTGAGTTGGTAGGCACCGGTATTTTCGTGACGGAACAAGCGTTGGGTTGACGTCTACCATTTTGTACGGAGCATGCTACGCTATACTCCAATATCTTACTGGATACAATAAGTTAACTTGTTATTGACTGTTTTTAAGCTAGCATTGAGGACAGCATTTTTTTTGTATTTCGATATTATAGTATAAATGAAAGATAGTCATCTCGATCGATGCTCTTCTGAATTCCGTAACTGCAGGATTTCTGGTTGGAAAGTTCTGACAGGCGATCTTTGCATCGCTTCGTTCGAACTAAAGCAGTACCATTAAGGGTGTCCTGCAGAGACCGAAATAGCTGATAGTCTGAAAAGGCAAAATGAAGATTCGAATCGATCGATCGTTCGCAGCGATGTCTCGTAATGCACAGTTTCTTGTCACTGGCACAACTTCAATGGCCGCAGGCTGTGGGGCACATCGTGTTTTCTCCATTAGCATACTACTGTCATGTGTGATAGACGTTCCATCAGTCGTGACCTATTACTTCAGTGGTTTACTTTCATTGCGTTCTTGCGGAGCTTTGTAAATAAAAATACGATCGAATGAATTTTCCTACGACGATGTGTCCAGCACTCAAACACCGAGCTTTTCCTGTTCTAGCAGCCTCCTTCAAATGGCTTAGAACCATTTAGAGGTGAATGTTTAATTCCTTGTTCATATTGGTCTTACTATATCTATACATGCACATGCACGGATATATATGTAGGTAAGTCGAAAAAGTGTTAACCGTTTTTTTAGTTAGATCGGGTTGGGTTGCTATTGGTATCATTCGTAAGCCGAGATACCCGCATTAAGTATAACCCTTTTTCCTCGCTCAAGCTAAAATCGTACGGCAGACAAAAGTCGTTTTCAACATTGATAACATGCACTGCTACTCTGTCCAAAATGTATCGCTGACTTGCGGCGGCAAATCAAGGATCTGTTTGAGTACGCAGCCATACATCTCCTATAGAACTGACGAGTGGCCAATGAAACAGCTAGACTCTGATTGGACCATACACCATAAACCATAAAGGCTTCCTTGTCCCTCTAGTCACCAGTAAATGATATAACCTATACGGTATACTTTACTTGCTACTTGTAGTTTGTTGTTAAATAAAGCCTGGATACGATTGGAAGAAGCTTGCTTTGCTTTACTAACCCGTTATGAGCAATGTTTCAGTTCGAGTTCGTATTCCAAGATTGATGTCGTTGGTGGTCAAACTTAACGCTTCTGGCATCTTTTTGTTCGCCTTCCATCTAAATCAACAAGTTGCTCAAATAGCTTGGGCTATTTGGGCAACCTACAGCGAGTAGGTAGTTAAGTTCGTCTTGCATCTTACTTGAGAAAAGGTACCTTGCTCCCGCTGATTTTAAGGATAGTTCGTTACAGCACCCTCAAAAGAGGTAAAGATGCCTATTAGACAAATCAAAAAAGTTTTCTTGCTAACATTTTTGTGCGTACTCTGTGTAGTGACTCTATTCCTAGAGTACAAAACCTGCTTAAACGTCGATTATCACGTTACTCTGGTTGTTTAGGTCGCGAATGCTACTTTAGTATATTTTTTTATTTTGTAAGTAAGCAAGTTTTTTTTAAATGCTTTAGTGCTACCCGTATATATATGTCTGTGTCCGGAGTGTGCCGGCGAGTGTGGAGTTCTGCCCAGAAATATAGACCTTATTCCGCCATTACCCATTAATTACTAATGACACTCTTATACGTCACGCCAACAATCCGGCTCTTGAATTAGTAGTACTATAGACTGTTAGGTCATTAGGTCAAGGTTGATTGGGTTTTTCACCGCGTCAAATGGGCCATCCCCTAAGCGGGGGTCTAACAGCTGTCTTCCCACTTACCTCGGAAACTTAACCTTTGGGCGTCATCTGTTTTTCTTATTCTGGCGAGCCCAGTTTTGATGAACCTTCTTTTTTTCATCATAAGCTCCATGGTAAGTCTACTTCCTTTATTTCTTATTCTTATCTCCTTATATTATCATCTGTGAGAACAGCTACAAGGCCAGAATTGGTGTCGTTGCTTCTTGTGTGTCGCATAGCAGTGGACCAGTCTTCAGATCTTAATATGCAGGAGCCCAATAAGACTGCCTATCTAATATAAGTGGCTCTGTAAGGGGTGATGTCTTTGCAAAACGACTTCTTTTTCGTTAGGTTTTGGCTTGCAGACTATCTTGTCCACACAGGTGCCCATAGGGAGCCATGGGCCTCGCCACTGCAACAAAGAGCCTTCGCTTACCTCCCAAACCTTTTTTGCCTTCGTAACCAACTAACGTACGTGTGGCTATGTTTTTTTTCCCCCCAGTTAAGAGGACCGCCTCTGACTGGGTCGGTGGTAGCTCATGTCCGGCATCTTTAGACCATGGTACTGTTTTGATGAACGCATCGTTTGTGCGTTCGTATAGTTCTTCCAAAGAGCAAGCTGTGATTGCGATTGCCAAGTTTTTAGAGCTTCTTTTGCAAGGAATAATCGTAGGCGATCTTTCAGAAGAGAGACCCGAGTATGCTTGACTTTTTGGGTTGCTGGAGATGATCCTTATTAAATATTGTAGGATCTTCTATTTAATCATGGAGTTGAAGATCGTTTTCCAAGGTAGGCCGCTGAACGCATTTTTTACATTCAACATGACTGCAAGGAAGAGTTTCGTTAGGTGGTCCTTAGTCTTAATCACGCTTCAGTGTCTAACTTGTTCTGCTTGTCTTAAACGTGGTCAGTAGCCGCGAGACATGATCTTACATAGTACGGAAACCGTACTGGTTCTCTGAGGGCAGACCAGTCTCTTGCGCGATATCTCGCAGTCTTATGTCGATGAGGTGCCTAAAACCTCTAACTAAAGCTCCCAGTAAACAGGTAAGCAGATATATATCGCTCTTTTCGGGGGGGGGGGGGGACCACTTCTCCCATCTTTCATATTTGCGGAATTAATCGCTCTAACAATATCCTGTTAGCTATTCTTGCCATTAGTGTCTAGCATTTTTTTTAATAGCACTTCGACTATCGCTAACGGAACTCCGCCTGGCTTAGGAATCTCGCCTGTGTTTATACGTTTACCAGCTGTCAGTACTTCCCTGAGAGTTACTGGAAGTACTGTATATTATGGGGTGAAGCCTTGTAACTGGCGCGGCTTATATAGTGGAGGCAATAACCTGTCTTTTCCCATTCTCTCCGAGTGAAGCAAAAGACTTCACGTGATTCTGTCTGCGTTATGAATGTGTGCCATGGCCAGGTCAATGCAACGTAAATCCCTTGGTCGCTCGAAGGTAAGCGTCGTGCCTTTGTTGATTGATTAAGTTGAGCACAACAAGCGAATCAGTAAGGATTTTGCCCTTTCGATCCACATGTGTTCAGCATCAGATGATCGGAGCTGCATTGAACAATCCCAATACAAAAACCGGAGTGTTTCCTGCCTTAATAGTCGTACCAATTATATAGTTCCTGATCATGTTTTCATTATTTTTACCTAAGGATTTTTTCTGCATCCAAGCAGTGCGTATGACTGTGATGGCAGTCTAATTGTTGGTTTTTAACTATTGTAGATTTTGCTGCCATGTCAAAGAAGGAGTTTTCATTCATTCATTCTTTCTTTCTAGGGCTTTTCTGCCTTTCGATCTCAGCGTATTTGGGTAACCTTCCTCGTCTTGTCGAAGCCTGTTTTGGTTCGATTTACCCCCCTGTCGGGCTTGTTGCTGTTGTAGTATACGGGGCGATCTTCTCTTTCATTCTTTGTGATTATTTTTCCATTCACATCTGTTTGAGGAATTCAAGAGATTTGACCGAATTCCCTGCTTCGTTACAGTTGGAACATTTAGGGAACCCCTGAGTGAACTCCTCAAGTGTCTATCTTCACACTTCGGTCCTTAATAAGTGTGTTTATTTCAACATGACTGTTTCAATACCACAACTCCAGTGATATTAATAATAACATTGGTACTTATTTATTAATTTTATATGGGATTAGATTTTCATTGGCTCTAATGAAATGGATGAAACGACTAATAGCAATAGTAGACTATACGTGGAAGCGTATACATGTACTGTAATAAATACGGAAATGTGGTGACCGCCATGTAAAAGTGACTCATCTTCTTGGTTAATTTCGACTCGCATGAAACCTATGTTGCTTCTACATAGAACTCGACTGTCGAGTAGAGGGACGGGAACATGTTACTTACTTGAAACGTTGAATTTTCCCGTCTGATCTCCCGTGATCCCAAATTAAATTTGATCATACTAGTAGAAGGCTCAGAGTAATGAAAATTCGTTTCAAATACTCGGTCACCGATACACAGCAAACTGATTCAGAGCTTAAGAATATAATGGATTACCAAGTATATCGCCTTTTGCGGAAAGAAGTATTTTCCTATAATGTATATTACCGAGGTAATGATTGCAAAAAAAAATTATATCACATAAATGCTTCCAGGCTGCAAGAAGTTATTATTGAATTTTTAGGACATGTATATAATGCAGAGATCGCACTGATCGTTGTCATTCAATTCGTTCTATTCGCTTCCAAAACGCAGCTATAAGCCTCAATATCTTTAGGGGGAAATTCAGTGTTTTATATATTTTCGAAGAAATGGTTACCTAATGATGTAATTCCCAATTATAGGATCAATCGTACAAAGGATAGTCTTATCGTAATCAATTTAGCAGCATTTTTTGACTTGACGTTAAATTCTTCTTCTTTCTTCTTAACGTTTCTTCTCATTCTTTAACTTTTATTAAGTAATGTACGAACTCGTGATCGGACCTCAATTAAGTACGGTAGTATGATAACGTGAGCTACTTATCGTCTTTTTAAAACGTGTTCTTTTCGCACGAACAACGGATGATCTTACATAGAATTGAGTACATTATAGTGTGAATCAGCTTTAAATATGGCATGATTTTTATGCGACTGCAGCCAACAGAACAAAAGATGAAGCAAAAAACATGAAATAATACCGGAAATTGTTTAGTCTTAAATATAAGAAGAATGGTTTTACCTTCAACCTTCCATCTTGCTAAATTCACATAACCATCGAGTTAATTATTTTTCTATATCGGGACGATTCCGCTCCTGACCCTAAAGGGGCTTGTCATTGACACAGAAACCATGGATGGTGATCATATCGGAGTGACAATGCCCTAACAGACATTGGTTGGCCTATGGCTCTGCTATAGAGTGGCGTACACGACGCCAGTTCTATCCTGCTCCCCTTAAAATGGGACATCTGAACGACAGTGAACAAAACCGTGGCGGTGTTGAGTGTCCGGCAGGTAAAGGTCACCACAATAACGCAAGGCTTTAGAAGGGATGGCCTTCATGTGTGTCGTGAAAAGCCAGGTCATGCCTCGTCGACCACGAGAACTAGCGTGCACAACCACCGTCACTTTTGCCCTATGCTAAAGCCCCTTCAAGCTTGTCGCTAGCATCTCAGTGCGGTGCTATATAGTTTTAGCGGCTTACGGACCGTCGCGGTGAGGAAGGCGCCGATGTGGTCAGACGTGCGGGCAGAACTCAGCAAGCGTGAGGAACGATTATCTCTGAATCAAGGGCAAGTTTTATCCAATCCTTGCTACCTGTCAATATGCCGTAGCAGATGGGAAATCGCGAGCAACGCTTGAGCTGAAGTATATGCGAGAGGAAAGCATTTAGGCATCTTGCGCTACAGCAAGCCAGATAATGTGGAACGACTACAGATTTCAAAGAGTACCTCATATATACTTTTAAAGAGAATTATGAATGCAAAGAACAAAAATTGCATAGGGTGCACAAAGAGAGCCCTTTGGAATTGATGTATATATGAAGCGATATATCAAAATTTTGGTAGAATGTCTGTGGATCCGAGGTTGAATTGTTTTAGGAGGAATAGTACGTGATTCTAAATTAGATCATCATAACTCGAAAAGGAATTATCAGGAAGCTACGTGCCATCACGTGTCCAAACAGGACATATGCGAAGGATTTATGGTTTGCTATTCGATGACAAATTTCATCTATTTGTGATAGGCTTATAGTCATAAGAAAAGTGCAGTTACATTTATACGGAAAGTTATAATATTGTAAGTAGACATGAGTAACTTTAACTGCGTTAATAAATACGCTATGCTACATCTGGGTTAATGGTAGGTCTGGCGATCATTTATATTATGGTTCGCTACGACATCGCCGCTATGTTATCTTTGTTGTTTATTTAGGCTTTGTAAATGATAAGTCTGAAAAAACTACTATAATTGTTTTAAGAGCTCATCGTTACTCATAGTCAGAACAAGATCTGTTGGTTTTATCGAAATAAGAGGCTGCAAATCATCGTTGAAGTGCATTATAGTGTCTCCGATCCAACAAAAAAACATTAGATGTAATCTAATCACGATCTGTTTCCAAGCATCCATAGAACATAAATAAAACTTGTACCGATAATACTTGGAGATAATAAAAAAAAAACAGAAAAGCAACAAAGGTGCCCTACTAAATACGTGTTGCAAGTGCCGACAGCCTGTTGAACAGGCTTGTATTGAAGACCAAATAGGGCAAGTTTGTTGTTGCAAAAAGATAAAAATTGAAGGAAAAGAGTTACGCTGCGAGATTAGAGTGGAGCTCAACAAATATAGGTTTCAAGTCATACTGCGAATAGTCAAGTGTGGCACATAGATTAAGCAAAAATATAATTCGATCATGCTCAGGTAAAAATCAATTAGTATCTTTTGAACATGGGTGTAACATTCGTTCGAGTATTTTTTCAGTTAAAAAGACCGACTCTAAAATAGCGTTACATACACCTTTATGTTGCCTTCCTCTCTCTGCTCCAACAGGCAAATTCAAACATTACTACACCGATGTGAGAAAACCGACATAGAGCCGTTCGGACAGCGTACGATTTCCGAGACTCTCCCATTATCTCAGAACGGATCACGAGCAGATCTACGAAAAGGAAGCCTTCAGTCGGCTAACCAAACAAAAAGCGAGATCGACAAAGCTATGCCGGTGCACAGCCTTGATGGCAATCTAAAAAACAATGGCGAAACGGGAACTGGGAAAGATGCTAGTAAAGGAGAAGGAAGAAATCGTTGTACCAGTAAGAAACAACAGCAACAGAATCAACTGGAGGAGCACCAGAAGGAACTGAACCGTGTAGAGTCCGCAGAACACGAGTTTTCCATTGAGGATGTCGTCGAGTCGCCCACTCCCCAAAAGTGTATGGTCGGTGAAAACGATACTAAGGCTCTGTCCGACCTCGAGGATTGGGTATGCGATGTATGTAGAATATTTAAGACCAATAACCATGAACGTTAACTGAAGACCTGTTTAGTGGAAGCTTTACCTGGCAGTACGCCACCACCACACTTAGGTGCAATTACTAATACTACACAAAGACAAGCAGATAGCTCAATTAGTAAGTTGTCCCTGTGAAAGGAACTACATACTAATTGAGACACTAATTTTAATTTTCGGTTCTTAAATTCCTCATATTTCGATTGAACTAAAATTCTGAGTTTGAGCTCAGTACTGGCCGCTAAATAGTGATTAATATGGCCGACCCGCAACGTAAAACGAAGTGTATCTTTACGTTCAATTTTGAACCTGGACCACGTCACATAAATTTATTAATCAAGCATGCTGCTACTGCATCATCACGGTTACTTATCGGTCTTGACATGATCGTGCTATCTGTAGCTTGGACGCCTGATCATGTTAGTTCCGGAAAGGAAATTCCTAGAGAAAGGGCGTAGCGAAAAACATTTAATACCGAGTTCACGTATCGAGACACCATTCTAAAGTCCAGCTTTTTCAACTGGCTGTTTATGATTGTACGAATACATTTATCTAGCAAAGGTACCAAAGTAAATGTTCGGAGATTAAGGTCCATTAATGCTATTACGGGTTGTTGCTGGCTTCTAATAGTAGATAAAATGTGTCCTCGTCCAGTTCCGAAGCTAGGCCCACACGTATCTCAAAACTGAATGGGTAGACAACGATTGCACTGCATTATCATATAGACATCGATCGCCGGTAACATTCCCCGGTAGATGAACGCCCATTCGAATTGAACACTAGATACTGTTGGGGAAGTAAGTGAAGAGTTTTCACGTGAATAGCGCTACAATGTTAAGGCGTGCTTACATAGATCTCAAATACGTGTCATACATAGCAAAAGTGCAAACAGATGATTGAGAAATCGATATAAAAGGGAATTGAAAATACTAAAACCTCGAGAGGTATTACACATCGTTTGCTTGAGGCCTGGTTCTTTGATGGATGCAGCCGCAGGTCGTTTTCCTGTCGTTCATGCTCAAGTCAGCCGCAGGGACAATCGTTCACTTATTCGCTATCTGCAGTACGTATCTATAGGGTATTTCGGTCAATGTTCATGTTCCGAAGTATCGTGGCGCCGCACTTTTTATCGGGAAGTCGAAGCCACTTACAGATAAGTTCATCTGTTTGTTTATCAGAATTATTATTCGATCGTAGTAGATAAATGACATGGTATCTGAAGGACAAGCATACGTCTTGCAGCAAAGTAACGCATCGATTTATGGAAGCCAGTTAGTGCGGGCTTGGGAATCCACTTGAGAACCGGAGCATGGTTTGGGATAAGCTCGTATAATTGTAGGACATCGTACATTTAAATGTGTTGTATTACTAGTCATGGCACTTTACTGAGGTTCTTGCAAGCTTCGACATGTCAACGCCGACTAGCTAATACTCGCTATCAAGCAGCTAGCTGTTCGCACAATTGCAAAGAGAAACTTTAAAGCGAGCTTGTGATAGGTCAGTCAGTTTCAATTAAAGCAATACTATAGGTAAACGTATATATCCCAAATAGACACAGCCACCAGAATACCTTCAGACACATTCAACACATTTAGTGTTGAAGTACCCGTCTCTGTTTAGATACAGTTACAAAACCAGATTAGAGGTAACGCTCCTCAGTTAGATGGAGCATCCCGTAACTCTAGTAGCACACGCCAACAAATTTTACACAAATTGGACATGCGATTTTTCAGAACTCTTTGTTAGTAAATAGATAGATATTCAGAAACAAGAACTTTGCAAAAATACGACTTCGGCAATTCAGGTGACATCGGACTTCGAGGGGCAAACGGAGCCCATCGCAAGGGCCCCCGCTGCGAACGCTCTCGGAGTCACCGAAGAGGAACTGCATTTCATTCAACAAGAGCTCGACCATGCGCACGACTCGTTATCGCAGGGCAGGTAAATGCAATTCAGCTCCTGTCGATAATAAACAAGTACTTTTCTTAGTCAATGAACAAGACTTTTCTTATATTAAAGGCTTGTTTTGGAGGCACCAAAGCATTAGTAATCGCAATTGACACATTGCAGCCCTTTCACGATTACCTGATGAACTTTGTTTATAATTCAACACTACTTTATGGACATATCAAAGGTAAAGGATTGTAAGGAAAGTATTGCAGTTGATTAGACAGATTAGTTATACATACTAATAACATGTCAAACGGTCACATCTTTTCGCTTATACTCTTATGGCCCTACATACAAGTACGCATCTCGCGTGCACATGCTTGCTACATACAGAGTGACACTATTCAGTTTGTGTATGGCATTTAATGATTTCAAGTGATCGGCAAAATGAAACTACCCTTTTCTATTTTTGCCAGGTGTCGCAAATTTGCTATTGAAATAGTTACCTCTTTCTGTGCTTAAGGTTTTCATATAGGCCATGCCAACATCGTTCTGATAAATCGTAATCCGCTGTTGTTTCTACCATTGCAGTGTGCAGGATAGTTTTAACGGCAGCAGTAGTGTCAAGTCTGCAGGACGCCTTCTCGAAGAGGATTACTTGGAAAAGGCGGCTGCAGGTTGTGGCTCTAGGGCCGGAACCTTGTCTCCCATAAGCAATAGGTACTGTAGCCATTATTGTAAATGCTAGTCTGAATCTACGCTTTACGTGCCTGATAGGAGTGCCCCCGGTTTCTTGTATCCCACGCAAAGTTGAATGCAACAAATTAACTATTTGGAAATATGTAGAAAGTACGCGATGTAAATACCTTAAGTACGACATCAATCATCTGTATATTTTTCCCCTTCATTTCACCACCATGCAACTTACGTAAATAGCGCACGTAACGTGGAATAAGAATCCTGTCAGGCGCTAAACTGACACAAAGTTTGACGCACATACAAGCATTATTACACGTTAACTACTCTAAATTGGAAATGATTTAGTCGGGAAAAGACAGCGTTGTTACTTTTTCTATAGGCTCACTTTTTCATAGAGAACTGGCGAAATACTAGACAAATTGAGCTAAAGCAACTGAAATATGCTAGGGGTTCATGTATCATTGGAAAATAGATTTTCGCCGGAAAAGATCTATTTGTTTAAACAGCGTATCCGAAGAACATTATTTCACCGCAGGGGATTGTAGTCTGATTAAAATTGATGTTTTTATTGGTCACTTATCGAGTACGTGTTCAGGCTTTGAAATGGATAAAGATAAAATCGCTAAAATGTGAGACAAAAGATTAATATATTATTTTAGCAGAGGATAAAGTGCTGCTATCTTACTCAAAGGAGGGCCGCAAGGAAATCGGTATACGGAGTCGTAGAATCGTCAAGGTGGTCAAATCACACTCAACTGGCTATTCTCTTAACTTAGCCAATCGAAACTTAAAGAGCGACGTTTGTAGTCCTTTAAACATCAGAAATTCGTGTGTATCTGTGTTGCATTGTAAACATCACTTAACAGTGGTATACTGCCATAACAACCGCCTGGGCAAGTTTGATCTTATCTTAAATCCCTTTAAGTATTTTTTTTTTTCGTAACAAGTGTGGAATCGTTTGTGCCCAAAAAGTACACTTTGTCGCATCTTCTACTACATGTAGGTTTTTAAGAATAGGCGATGTGAGTTATTTGTTTACAATGTAGGGCAATCAGTATAAGAATGAATTTTCGCTCCCGATTATTATGTAGGTTGGCGACGATCGCGGAGAAACGCGAAATCGCTGTACAAACGTTAAACGATGTGACCACGGACGAGGCAGCCGAATTCGCGGCAAGGCCCCCACCCTGTAAGAAGAAGGAGCTTATACCGCTTCAGGGAATCTTCTCCGATATTGATAAATACGCATGCAATGTAAGTAGATCAAGTCCACAATGTTTTCCAGAACTTACTTACCAGTCATAGTCGGGCTACGACCACGCGCTAAATTGGCATTAATCAGATACGGCATTGAGATCGTATTAGTTCAGATTTATGTGGCGCTTCGAAATCGGTATTGCTCGTTTGAACCTGGTCATGAAAACTGAATGGAAAGCAGTGCGTGTCTTCGTTTATTGGGAAACTGATCAATTAGATGCTGGATATGGAGACCATGCTATGCTCGTAACGGTGCAGCTGCTTTCCTATTAGACTTGAAATTGTTTTAACTTGATGCCGACTCCCAGTTCCTGTTCCCTATATCTTCATCAACCTGGACATAGACCGAGAGGTATTGCTACGGCGGATATCTATTTCCGCGAAGCGTAGGCTTAGACTGCAGAGACGTGATGTGAAGCACCATATGCCATGTTTCTTTGCATGGGCTCTTGCCTATTAGTTGGACACGTGAGATGGTTCAGGTTTTGAGGTGTTTTTAACACCATCTATGTTAGTAACTGAAGCTCGATGTGAGAGGTCTTAGATATCGGAAACAACGTAATGGAAACGGTCTGAATGATGTCATCTGTGTTGTGATGCTGAACTTTTATCTAGCAAAACATACCCGCACACAATTTTCGTATTTTAATGGTCTGTCGATTATGCTGGTCGTATAAGAGCAGTAGCTGCGATGGGCGATTGGGTTTGCTTTCTGGGCTAAAGTGCAGATTGTTGAGTGGCGCGTGCTCGCTGACCCGTTCCGGCAAAACTTGGCCGTAGAACTGCCACGTCAGAGCTGCCAGTGACGTGATTAACTACGTCCGCATTTTAAGCAATTGTAGATAAGCAGAAGGAGTTGATGACGTGGGTAAGCGGCGTCGAGCGGAGACGTGAGCTCACCTGCAAAATTCCTGCCGGGTGCTATGGTATACACGATAGCATAGAATGTAGTACCAGTTATAGTATCAATTGAGACCACAATTGAGACACACAGGCCCATAGACATCTAGCCAAGTCTTTATCGAGGCGCGAACTGAGGACATAGCGATTCTTTGGCATTGGTCAGGGAGTAGGGAACTAAGTGGATTTGGGAAAATAGAAAAATAACAAGCGATACCTCGCACCCTTTTATTCCGTTCGCTATTAACATGCGGTTCTTATACGTACCCCTTCTCAACTATAACGCTATTTAGAAGCATTACAAGGTTATCTGCAGGTACTTATGCTAGTAAACATATAAAAATTTAAAGGCGATTTTAGTCGTGATCCATGGTAACCGTACCGATCGTACATGTGTGAAGCTCGTTAATTGGCTATTTTAGGTGGTGTCGTCAAGTAAAGTTGATTCTGTCTTCGAAATATATTCAAGAAAGCCTATTTGTATCTAAACAAGGGATTACAATCATACTAGGCCATTTCTGGTTACTATCCTATTCAGCTGAACTATGACTATCTAGTGAAATTATATATATATATATATATAAATGAAATGGTACTTGTTTTGCACTATAGACCACATTAGCTGCTTACTCCTAGTCATTCACTTCCATTTCCTTCGAGTATAATTTAACAATATAATTATTGATAAAGGCGCTGTATAATAACGTAGAGATATAGTACACTACGTAACTTTTAATTGAAGTGCTTTGCAGTAGACAACGGCGATAGGTAACGGCTAGTTAACGAAAGTCGTTTTGCAGTTTAACTGTGTACCGTGGCCCCCATTTGTAAGTGCGGGATGATTGAGACCCGTTCGACGCTTGAAACATAACTAAATCATATCATTAGTATTGGCTGATATTACGGTTTGAGAGAAACGAATCGTTTGAGAGGCCAGGTGAGGGGGGACACTGCAATTATCTCGCCCTCGATAAAGTTACATAGTTCCCATGTTAACTGCCACATTTCATAGGTATATGTAGCAGTCTGAAACTTCACGTCCAAATAACAGTATAGAAAATAGGAATTTATAATTTGTGCTTTGTTTAACTATTGTCAATAAGGTCAAAGTAAACGGTGTGCTTTTCGTTAGCAACGATTGGCTAATTCTTCGGAGGATCAGCCGGGGACACTCTTAGTAATCCTGAAGCTTTGACCAAGTAGAGTTAACTACTACTGGAAAAAGGCTTATAATAAATTGTTAATTAAAAAATTACTAATAATAATTATCTTAGATGACGTCTGCTTTCACCTCGTGTTAACGAAAAGTATATAAAAACCTAAATTGCAATTGCGTTTCATAGGCTTTCCGTGGTCGATCTGCGTTAGCTTATTTAACCAGTGCACTGGCATTGCGATTATATATGTAACTGGCCATAATTGGCTTTGTTCACTTGCACGTTTGACCTTGACACAAGGCCAGCTCGTTCACTAACCTGCCATTGACTAGTAAGTATTTGATAAAGAGTTTACAATAAACGATCCGTTTAGGTGTCTACAATGCGTACCACAAATCGACACCGAGACAGCGTCGCTTGAGTACGGAGTAAAAACTTTACCACGCTGTGCGGTGGATCACCTCGATCTTCCCGCAGAACCTAAAAGCGAGCGTTGAAAAAATATAAAAATGAGCATTCACATTTTATTTATTCAGGCAATAAAAATAAAAGGTAGAATCTGTCTGAATCCCAAAGTTATATTTGAAATATGCTAAGCTGTACACTAAACTGTACCGCAAGATACACAGTTCCTCGGGCATCTATAATTTCAAAAATGCATGTATCTAGTAACAAAACTTTTCTTCACATGCCAACTGAGTTATCGAAATCTCTGAACTACAGTAGGTAACACAACAGGAAATAGTCGGCCAGTATACATAATGACACATATACATATCCAATCCGATCTATATATTTCAGAAGCTATTTTTTTTTTTTTGGTAAAATTGATTCCTTTGAATTTTGAAGTATTTAAGGTCTTTTCAATTTAGTGTAACCACCTAAACCGATAAGAATATGCGACCATGCTCAACAAAATTTTGTGTTCTATTATTGAATTTCAACCCCTTGTAACTTCTCTGAAAAGATTAAACCAAGTAACTAGTATGCAAAATATATATTAGTATAATGATCTTCAGCTCAAACCGGTTCATGATCCCCATTATATAGTTTGAGTAATCAGCACCTATACTTAGCCACGCGGTTCGCCGGACTTGCAAACATCAGGTATAGAGCTCGATCTGCAACTGAGACTTAGTGATTATTTCAATTCTTAATTTTGACCCCCCTGTGCAGTTAGTTCTATTTGAGTAATATAGATGTCATAAAGCTTTCTTCTTATGCCGTGGGGGAAAGTGGGGTGAAAGAGGACACTCTTTTTCTAATTGTTCAGAAATCGCTGGTAACAATTTAGAACAAGGACGCTCAAGCTGCAGCTGGGTTTTTATAGAATATGGCTACGAATGCTCAACCGCACGGGCATTGCTGTTGTAAAAGCCTCAATAAAGCCCGCAACAATCAAGAATTGAGCAATAAATACATTTGAAATTCGGCTGCGTTAGCATATTATTTATTTCATGAGGATAGGCAACAATAAGCAGTCCTTGAAGTCAGACTGTGTCAGTGTTTTGTAACTTTCTTCTTAATCATGTGGCAATCTTGCATTACCCAATAGAACTTATAACATTTTATACCGCATTTCAATTTATTCGGTCAGACGAACGACTCCAGGATCCAAATTATCTTACAGCTTTACTTAGACGACTTCGTGAGAGTAATCTAGAAATCAGTTGAAGTTTAGACATAGGCTGTAAATTTTATCCATTTTATCCCATTGTCGCCATTTTTGTCAATAATTTTTTTTATCAAAGCGAGACTAAAGAGTAACTGAATAACAATGCTTGTCGCATATATTATTTTGAAATTTTTCGTCTAAGTGCGAAGCAGATAATATTTGAATTTGGGTAAATTTGGCCTTGGAAATTAGCGTATTTAGTTTTCTGTAATCTGAAAGGAACCTTCAAGTTGGCCCTTCGTCCTGAAAAAAATTCCCGATGAGGTACCTTCACGATAAACAAACCATCATTCACATATGTAGGTTGTATCAAAATGAAGCGCAATAACCTATGAGAAGAAGTCTTTATTTGCCAGCGTATTATCCTGAAACTGGTAGTTAATTACTTTACGTGAAATACACAGCTGATTAAATATGAAGAAACCACAATTTGTTATATTATAACTTCTATTAGCTGCGATCTGCTAGTTTTACCTTGTGTTCTTCAATCTCAAGTGTTTACTTTTGGTCGCAGTATGATTGCTATTGCAGTTATCATGAGGTACGTGGAACCTGTAGCTTCGGTAAAAAGATAATTTTTTTCGATAGCTTCATGAAGTCGTCTGATGTTATCACCCCAATCAGCTCTACAATTTAAGCAAACAAATGGAAAGCTAAAATATTTCTTATAATTTATAGAGGAAAAAAATGGACTGTGCTATTCTTCTGTCGAAATCGGGCAGAACTGCCTCCACTGCCAGTGAAAGCAAACACATCCAGCGCATAGCTACTATATAATGGGTCAGCACAAAGGTTTGTTGGGTACAAAGATTCCCATAAGTCCCTGAAAGCTTGCAAATAATTTGTTGTCGCGACACAGAGTGTTTTGTGTAGTTATAGCCTAACGTGGCTCCCAACATTTTCGTTGGTGTTACTAGGCAACGATTTGTGTGGCTAGATTCCAACACGTTGTCAAATATGCTTCAATCGGTAAAACAACCTGTATTGTAATGAGTGGTAAGTACTCTTTGGAAGCATGCCTTATCCGTAATCGAATACGTTTTTGCGTTCTCTATGTTTAATATACCAGGTTCCATCAGAGATCGAACGCGGTGGTATTGAAGACCTGGTGAATTATTTGATGGTTAAATCACGAAACGACCTCTTCAAAGTTCGCGTCATCTTCCGGTGGATTGCCAACAATATTTCGTAAGCACGAATCATGGACAGAGGCGTTTTTTTCGTAGTAACTATTGCGAACTCGTTACAAGTCTATTTTATGCAACGTTAAATAAACTGTGAAATCTTTAGCTTACTCGTTAATTCAATAATGGATAAGCCTTTGCCATAGGTTTTCATTCATTTGCAATAGGTTTTTCAACACTATCACGATTGTTGTTATCACAGTAGATTATACTATACAAACTCGTGAGAGGGAATAACGTCAAACAATGCTGTCGTACTGCTTGATGTAACGCCTTAATTTGCTCAGTGAGAAAATTTACGTAGCCGGCTACTAATGTTCCAGTGTAGTTTTAATAAAGCGTTTCGCACATTTTTAGTGGAATCAATCCTTTTGAAAGTTCGCTGTGGTTTATTAGGCAACGATGCGTACGCCCGGAAAACGTTCAATAACATGAAAGTCTTGAGCCAGGTTTTACTTCTTCTGTATTTACTAGATACAATTGGCTGTAATCCTTAACTTGTTTCCCTGAATAACAGTCGTACTTTGCATTATTATAGATTTGAATGGAAGTATGTGGATGAGAAGCTTACTCCCGAAAAAGTTCTCCTGAAAAAAAAGGGCGTCTGCAAGGATTATTGCAGTCTGTTTTGCGAAATGTGCAGGTAAATCTGTGATGCTATGTTGGCCGCCAGCAGTAAGCAATATGTCACATCATAGCGGATCAAAGCTTGAAGCTCTATATGGCAGAACATGCTGAAATGGGTGTACGTATACTTGCTCTACTACAAATGCTCATTTTCTTGTCTCTCTCTCCCTCTATATATGTCGCACATTTACATTTCGGGGGATGCAAATAGGTGTGCCGGCATCCGCGTTAAGCAGATACAAGGATTTGCTAAGGGGCACGACTACCGACCGGAACATCAGTTCTCGCCGGGAAGTGACGTGCCACACGCATGGAATGCCGTGTTCCTCTTCGGCAGCTGGCGACTCGTAGACGTCACGTGGGGCAGCGGCTTCACGGACCACACGGGCTCGTTTCAGAGGAAACTCAACGAGCACTTCTTCCTAACTGACCCTGAGGCGCTTATATGGACCCATTTTCCTTACGACGAGTTAGAAGCCAACTACGAAAGGTACGCTGAACGTATTCTGTTGTTTTATTTTTTAGAACAAAGACCGACTCAACTAAAGTATGATTATACTGCAGGTTAGCCAAGTCTTCGTGACAAGAATGTTTTTTTGGCTTACGCTTTTATAGGAGTCCATTTGATGGGCAACAATAACCAACCAACTGGTATTTTCAGATGGCAATTACTCGATGTGCCAATGGATCTGGCTACGTTCAATTCCCTTCCTAAGGTGACGCCGCACTTTTTCCAATTTTCAATGAAGATACGCTCGAAGATCCAAAACCCGGTCGAGTTCCGCGTACGAAGCGATATTCGAATAGCAAGCCACGAGCATATGCGATTCAAATTTAAATTATACCCCTCCGAAGAAGTCGAAAATTCAATATTGAATAACTATGTGTTTTGTCACTTGGTGGAGGACCGCCTTGTGGGTTGCTTTGGAATAACGCCGCCCACCGAAGGCAGATACTACTTTAAGGTGAGTCTTAAAATGAGCGTACAGGCATGCTCACTCGGTTTGCATGGGACAATTTAAAGGAAAAGCTCTTTTCAGAGCAGTATTTGTTAGAGGTAGCCATACTTTTCTAAAAATCTTCGTTTGGCCGCATTGCCGGCAAATCGTCTAAAAGCATGAGTTCTCATGAAAGTATCGGCACACACGTATTTGAGGCGTGATTAGTCCGACTGTGCTAATAACTGAAATGCATATATTAAATTATTCTGTCATTTCGTAATAGCTGTTGATTACGCATGCCGTAGGCCTGTTTTCTAGCGTGTTTACTTTATACCATGCTTTCTTACATGCGCTATATCCTATTCTTGTTGCCGATAATATTAATCGTAAGACGAGTAGAAGCCTAAGCTACGTCCACGTAACATATGCTAGAGGAATGGTTGCTATAGATTATTCTATCTTGTTTTTCAATGGCCCCTCGCAACTTCTGCAATCCAGGTCCAGAGGGTAACTCCTCTGCATTACGAGCACACTGAATAGCCAAAGGTTTCATGCAGTGTTGTCTTTACAAGCCAATATTGCTCATAAACAGAGCACCGAGGAGATGACAATGTTATGTATACTGACGAAAGTGCAGCCCGAAACTGGCCCTAGCAGCATCGTGGTATGACGCTTCAAAACCTACTGATCTCGGAAAGACTATCAATGCTCCGTAAAAATCGCTGACTATAACTTAGTGCGACTCGATTGCGCCGCGTGGATTAGAGCCTGCTCTCGGCCTGTGGCATCGGGAATGATACCCAAAAACTGCTATTGTTATCTATGGCCACCCGGCCATTACAGGGATTGGAAAAAAAAACAATAACTTCAGTGTAATGTATCTGATAGGTGTACGCGCGTCCGGAACGTGATATGGGCAAAGACGACGCTTCGTTGCAAAACGTGGCAGTCTTTCTTCTGAACTGCACACGCGCACGCAAATATTTAATACCGTATCCTCCCAACGAGGTTCCATGGGGTCCTACGCAAACATTCTATGACTACAACATGAAACTCGTCAATCAAAATGGGCCAGTGATCGTTTCGTGGGGCGGAAAACGCAAATTGCAAATCGACTCGGCAGAAGCAATGCTTATTACTCATCAAGTGCTTAATGCCGACGGACAAGAAGTCGACACTACCGGTCAGACCTGATACTTAGTTCGAAATTTTCCATCCATAAATTATTTTATCAAGCTTTTCTGTGTGTATTTATATTCTGTATTAAATAAAGCTAATAGCTAGATTAAAAAATATGACATCTTTAAAATGCTTCGCGAGAGTCAAGCTATGGGTTGTGAAATATTGTCGGGGATTTTGTTATTCATACCGAGCAAATTATAATAATTCGAATAGATCCGGCAGATGTTTGAACAAGTTTCTTCGTACCACCGGATCTGCGTAAAAAACAGTAAATGTTTCTTTAAGGACGGTTCGCTGTAACACGGCTAGAGTATAACTGATTATACTCTTGACTTAGTACCATATCTTTGAAATAGTTAGACACAGTTGCTTAAGATAGTACATGCGTCATCTTTCATGTTTCGCCACTCAGGTATGCTATCACGCGAGGACAAGGACAAACGTATCACATTCGTGCTTACCCCGGTACGGGTGGGCTACTTCAAGCTGATTCTATTTGGAATGCCCAAGCCTAAACAGAAGGGCAAATGGCGGCTTCCGCTCATTGCCACTTTCCTTATCGACTGCAAACTCACTAGGTAGGTGGATGACGCTAAGTCGCTAACAAGGTAAAGGCTTAGTTTTGTGATTCCATCGTAAAACTCCCATATGCTTACCCTGATAAATGTTTATCATCGACATAATTCCTTATCTTCGAAATCATTTAACCCAGCTTTTCCTCGGCAACTATAGATTCACTGTTCATCTCTCCTATCATATACAACTCCAAATGAATCACTAGTTTTCTCTAGTGCACACGTCATATCACAGCACCTTTCGGCGCTTTTGAACCAGTTCATTTTGAATGTTGCATAGCTCACGTTATTACTTATGATTGCCGTCAATGAGTTAGTACCGTCTTTTGCTGTTGTCCAACGGCCGTTCTTGATGTGTTACTGTTGCAGCGGGCCTCGTGAGCTGCGTAGAAAGCAAAGCACAGCCGCTACTGAAGGAATCCCGCCCGTGTCCTCGTTCGCTTCCACTAACCCGAAACGCACCGCAACCCAAACTATATCATCATCGAGCTCTACCTCTAATGCCGCATAGCTGTAAATTATGCCCCCCTATCATCTCTTTCAACATTAATACTCATTCCACCATTGGAAACTCTCAACTTGATGGGCCATAAAATGAATTTACTAACCGATGTCTGTCGTCGCGGTGTCTGCTTCTATCTGTTGTCACTATTTAGACTGGTTTTTGACGAAGAGCTGCGATTGGCGCACCATCGAAAGCCAGGGGATCCAGATCCCGATGAAGACAAAGAAGACAAGGATGGTAAAAAAAAGAAGAAGAAAAAGAAGAAATGAAAAAAAAAACTGTCGAAATGAAGGAAACACGAGCCGACAAGAGACGTTCAACATGAGTAGAAAAATGAATAGGCTTAATTTGACATTCATAGTTATACCCTACTTCAGCTAATATTTGAAGATCCTAATCATCAGCTTGGTTACTTGGGGGTCATTAGGTTGACATCGTAGCTTTTAACAAAGACGAAAACGACTTTTCAGGTTTGAGACTGCCGACGAGCATGTTAATTGTGACATTAGCAGATGTTGTCATGAGGAAAGCATGTCGAAAGCAGTAGCATTTTTCGTGTGCTATGTCATTAAAAAAAAAAAACTTTATTTATTTGCCTTTTTCATATTTTCGTACATAACACAATGTGCTCCTCAAGCAAGAGGGCGAAAAATTGAGGCGACCCACTTGCTCTGGAACTGATCGTTCGACTGATTGCATCTAATTCAAGTTAGCGATTTATAACGGTTCAAAAAGGCTACTTTTGTAATAAATGGTGCTCCAAAAGCTAACTTCCTTACTAGTCGCCTACAACATTGTTTGCTTCTATTTGTTGTTGTTATTGTTATTATTTAGACTGATCCTTAACGAAATGATACGATCGGCATACCACCGAAAACCAGGGTACCCAGATCTCGATGAAGACAAGGATCTCTTTTTTTGTGTGCCGCACTGTCAGCGTACGTACGCTTTAAGCAATCTTTATATAGAGCTCAGGTGCGATTCATTGTTCGAACGGTGTTTTACTTTAAGAACCGGCCTGTAGGTCTTATAGGAGTTACTATCTTTTTTTGGTACATAACTAGAAATGTTCCAGTGAACCATAATATTTCTAGGCTAACTTAAAATTAGTAAATGATATTACCTGTAGACTACGGAAATATTTATTCGCATTTATTCGGATATGATAAAACGTAGTAATTCTTCGGCTGTTAAACGCCACATCAACACTTCTGGCTATCGCCCGAAGTGATCTAGAGCATTCTATTAGCGGAACGATATTTCGAGGATGCTTTATGCCCTGTCACACGAATCCTAATTTCGGTTCGACATGTGAAAAGAGTTAGAACGCATTCAGACAGAAAATGCGGTATTTTCTAGTTAAATACTTTCCATTTGGATACGTAATCCACGTATTTTAGTGACAATACTACCTGAAGCTAATATATTGTTGATGCATATTTCCAGTGTTTGCAATATTGCTGATGGAACAGATGACATTCGTTTCTTGTTCAACGATACCGCAGACCATCTAGCTAGATAACGTCGATATTGACCGTTCTTGTTGCGTCATTTTAGCACAAGTCGTGTTGAATAGTAGTAGTAGTAATAATAATGATAGTTCTATCAGTGGTGCAGGGATTTATTTACACTGCTGCTAGGAATTGTCGGGTTGAACCCTAACGAAGTTCTCTGGTCGTAACGACGCGAAAAGCTTTTCCCAGGACGGGTAACTTGCTACAGTTTGGCGAGCACCGACCAGGATGAGCTTGCGACGAGCACGGCTTACAGCGACATTCAACCTCCGAACATCGTTCATGATTTCCTGATCCTAACAAAAAAGAAGTGTGGAAGAAAATGGAAGCAGAACGATAAGTTTGTCATATCGGTTTCGCAGCGAGCTGAGAAAATTCTTTGAGTCAGTCAAAAGTCATATTATAAAACTGTACGAGCCTGAGAGTTACTAACCATATTTGCAGTTAGCTGCGTTCGTACACAAGAAAAGAGAATGACCTCATTTTCTTTGCCTTGATAGCGGTCAACGGTGGATACTTCCACTTTCAATGGAAGATCGGCCTTCAGCTGAAGTACCTGAACCAGCAGCGGAAATTCCGCATCAGTAATACAGAATTTTATTCATACAATACTGGCCGTGCACATTTCAAAAGCTAATTTCTCTTCACTACTAACTGCATCATACATATATCACCAGTGTTTTAGGAAGTAAACGAGACTCTAGGTAAAGAAGGTTATTAAAAGAACGTCCTTTATAAATTACGTGTACCTGTCTTTTGAAAGGGGTTATAGCACTAATTGATGATGCAGCAACACCTTTATTCGTGAGAAGCTGCACGATGCGTTGTATAATGCGCGATTCCCCAGCGTTTGACAAACCACTGCCACCGGAGCTTTCTTGTTCGGAGACACCTGTGGCGTCAACGAAGACGACAGAGTCGGATAAATCTGCTGAGACACAGCGCTGCTCCCATGGACTCATAGGGGCGCTCCTATCAACGGTCCCATCGGTATCGACGTTATCGGCAAAACATAGGGTCTGCTCAGCAATCTAGAAAATCATATTCAATGATAGTGAGCATAATATTTCGAAACAGAGTAATTCATAACAAAGTGTGTCATTGCTCTTTCAAACCGAAGGGTTTGCAACATTGTCCATTGCGGGAGTATTGGAGCCAAGAGATTTTAGCTTAATAATTGACAGTAAAGCAGAACGAAGTTACGCAAACGGCACGGTTCCAGAAATACTTGCCTTATCGTTTCCGCATCTAAGTTCTCCTTGATAAACCAAACTATTGCAAAGTCTCATAATCTCGATGTTCATTCTATATTGGTGGTTTAGAACGACCAAGTTTGAACCGTCCTCACGTTGAAGTCCTTTGAAGAGACACTCCTCAAGCCCAAGACGGCGAGCTTCTTTTGACTGAATAACTGGCGGAAGCTGTTTAGGGTCGCCCACTAGAAGGAACTTCTTAGCCAACATCAGCGGTCCCAAACAGACGGGCTGCGGAAACACATGAAACTTCCAGAAGTTAGTTAGCAAACTTAAAATCTAGCTATTTAGAACGCAGTTACATTTAACAGTAAGTGCTTATTTCAAGGAGTTCTAAGATTTCTTGAGCAATACGTTGGCAGACAGTGCGCTCGTAGTAAATAGTTAGTTCAGTTGTCATCGTCTGAATCTCCGAACGGTGTGTACCTGTAACACTTGCGAAGCCTCGTCAACGATACACATGTCAAATCTTTCTTTTTCAAAGACCGAATGGGCGATTCCCAGACATGTAGAGCCGAATACACGTTGCCGCCCGTAAAATTCTTTCACCTAAACGGGCATACACAAGAAATATCGAAAATATTTATCCGTGCAGAGTTTGATGCTTTTATACAGGTAGAGTTGTGGCTTTATTTGAAGAAAACAGAGCGGTCCTATTGTTTTTTTTCTTTTCGTACATTTATAACGATGACAACAGTTTATAAATTTACTTTCAAATATATCACACATATTTTTTTTATTAAAAACAATAAGGTTTAGTATTAGAGATCAAAGCACGCTGTACACATATTATATGCCGATGTAGCTAGAATGTTTTCTTACTTCATTACTGTCATAGAGATACACAGCGACTCACCTGTGCAGTGCAAGTGGCCTTAGCCAACTGGGCCTCATTCGTTTTCTGCCGCACGATCGGATGTGACGTCTTGCCCATTCGTACGAAATCAACGTTACAATGTACTAACTTTTCTAATATATTGTCCAGAGCATTATGCGTATTGCTTGTTACTAAAACGCGTTGTCCTAACGTCACCTAGCGATGGCGGTTAAGCAGGTACAGATTGGATATAACATTTTAGACAAATCGATTTGAAAAACAATTTAATCATTGTCAAACAAATTACAATCTACAGGTGTTATCATGAAATTAGTAGAAGTAAGTTGAAGTAGCGAGAGGATTTGAACTTTGATGCATGGATAATGGGCCTATAAAAAGGTGTGGCCAACAGTAGCTTCATTAATCTTTTTGGCTTAAATTAGTTATATCATAAATACTCTCGACTCTATATTAAATGAATTACGAGAAAAACTCACCAGAACACGTATAGCTGCTACGATAATGGTTGTCTTACCAGTTCCTGGCATGCCTTGCAGCAGAAGATAGTCTTGAGCCATCAGCAGCCTAATCACAGCGCGAACCTTTACTCAACATGACAAATTAAGGATTAGCATTTCTACTTCTTGGAAGTGAGGTATATCTGTCGGCATTCTCGTGTCATTACAACAAACAGAGACATATTTTCGGATTGGAGATGGTGCAGTTCAGCCTTCAGAGGTATATAATAATGGAATTTTGAATTTCCTATAACTGAACGGATTGCCGAATCAAATCTTTACCATTTGAGTAAAGACGTGGAATTCTATCCATGACGTTGGAACGTAGCACCGGCCTCAAAAATCTGCACATTGAAATAGAGCTATACTAGAGCATCGCTTTCTACAGTGCCATATAATACAAGACAAAGTTAATATTACTCTGTAAATAATTGGCAATAGATACTATGCTATCCAATACAATTATCTTTTAAGTCCTTCTACTTCTTCAGATTTATGAAGTTTGCTAAATTAGAGCTTTGAAAGCAAATGTATGACCAAGGTGAACGGATACCGTCGATGGCAGATGTATTTTCGTTTACTATATGAAGTTACGGGTCATCACCAAAATATACAGTAATTCAAATCTACCTGACTTTCGTTAAGTTCAGTAAGAATGTCCATGCAGCGTTCAATGTCTGCTCGAGGGTAAACCAACTCAAAGGATGGTTTAGAAATTCCAACGACCATCTTTCGTAGACGCGATTGCTCGGGCTGTAGGAGTCTGATCAGATTCGCATAAGCCGTCCCAAATGAACTCGAAGAATTTACCACGTCAACGACGTATTTCTTAGAAAAAAAAAAAGACGAAATCAGAATTCAATTTTCCACGGCTATACTGAACGCACGACTCCCTACAACTAAAGCTTGCTGTCCGTATATTGCCCTTAGCAGACTTTAATCAGTAAGTAGGAAACGTAAGATAATGACTATTGTCAAATACGTCTCTGTGATGAAAAACATTTTTCATTAGATAACCATTGTGGATCACAAAGTACATACTCAATATGCATAGTGATAGATCATTTTTCTACTCTATCAATGAATCAATTGATCTTGCCTCAAAATAGGGATTGTCTCTAATCTGCTTGTTTTACAACATATGTTTTTACAACAACTAATGTTTTTTTCACAACTTTTGAAACTTCATCGTGTTTTTCCATAAAATTTTTCGTTAGATACCTTATTGGGATCCAACAGCGTTTTGCTTCCTGATGGATCAATGTCAAGGTCGAGATATATGGCATTCCCATCAACGGCGTGGACGGAACCAAGCCTATTTGCGACCCTTCGGAAGGTGACATCTTGCTCGCTGAGAGCGATATACGAGCCCGGTGCGAGATTTATAGCACTGCCAGGAGGACCTTCCAGGCATACGAAATTACTCGTCGAATTTATGTCGATTTCAACCTGGCTGTTGTCCTGCTGCAACAAAATACGAATAATTCAGGCCAGACTGGACACACAAGGTGAACCCACTAATGCTGACGAAATATAAAGCGAGCGTGCGAAGATCGCATATGCCACGAATTACGTGTTAACGAAAAAATATACCCTGTGTTATACCTGTAGCTCTGAGTGGTCTTTGGCGCTGGTAAACGATTTCATTTGCCGCAACGTGTAGTCCGTGATTTTCGAGAATTAACATCTTTGAAATTTCGATTTCTTTATTATCTGCGATCTTGAAAAAACATTGCATTAACATAAAATACCTGGAACTTCTTCGCTGAAACATTGGCCAGTCGAAGCGATGCTACACATGTTCCATTGTTAACTCTGCGCTCTACCTGAAAGGGTGCGTACGAATAAATAATCGCTCTTAAATAAATGCTTAGCATTCTATGTCATATACAGTCATTGCATGTATTAGAGGTTGCAAAAACAATGCATGACGGTATCAGACGGCACAGATCACACTTGACAACATTGATTAATTCAAAACTAAGGTTCCTATTTATGACTAAATATAATATGATAGAAGGGACGAATGTCGCTCACGAGCACCCCTTCGCTGCAATTAGTGGTAAGCTCCTACAAGATCAGCTTACTTTTTTGAAACACCTTGACCAACTCGACTCTAGCGTATTTTTTTTTCATATAATAACTTTAGCAAGTGGCGGATCCATCATTCTACAACGCACTCCTTTGAAATGAAAATTTTTATTACAACACACTAGTTGAGGCAGTCAGTGCGTCAAAGGGATAAAAGCTCCCTGCAGCAAGAAACGTTATCTGTTTATTTGTCTATTAATTGCCATTCAGTGTCCGCAAGATGCATGTACACATACCGAATATTTCCAAAACGCCTGTGGATTTTGTCGAGCGTGCTCGGCGCACTCGATGTCCAACAACATTAACCAATGCCACGCATATGATAACTCCTGTTCATTGAGGTTCCCTAAAATAGTTCGGCAACATCAGATGCCCACCTAACAGTTAATTCGAGGGCGTCCGTGGCGAGTTAGGCTAGCACTGGGATACCTATATACCTTTATATAAAACAATAGCTAAACAACGCGAAAGACAGGTAACGCCATACTTAGCCAAAACGATAGGTGTATCAACACTTACTTGGCAGTAAAGGTATTATACTAATTCTACATTCCTTACCAAGGACTTTAGTTGCAACTTTAGCCCTCACAGAGCCCTCGGGAAGGTCCTTATTCATGTGGGCAAAGAGCGAACACGCTACATTAGCGCTGCAGTTGTCACAAAATCGTTCTTCCTCTTTGAATGGCCCTACCGCATTTGGTCTCATCCGTATTGTGTCGATATCCAACTCAGGATTCTGCAGGGCCCACCAGGCTTTTGCCAAACGGTTTCGATGCTGTATTAATTCTTGCCTTACAAAATCAATTATTTGATTAAATTATTATTCTACTTTGCGGTCTGCGATCGCATTGTTGTGTCTGAGTGCCATAACTCGCACCGTTTTCAGAAAGAAAAAAAAAACTTGATATTAAATGACCCAGTACGTATTCAAACCTGATTTGCAAATTAAATTTAACCAGTAAAAGAAATCCGAAAAAAATCTCACGAACAGCGATCCTTTGTCCGCTTTTACTAGTACGCTGTCAGCTCCACGCTGAATGTAGGTGAGAACTCCTACTCCACAGCTTCCTGCTGTCTGGCTGTCTCTAGGAGCTGCTCCCACTGCCTTTGGGTTATCCGGAAGTAACGACCTATGCTCAGCTCCCATTTTCTCATTCATCATGAGTGTATATAGCAGCACCTACACAAGCCCACAACCGTTTAAGGACATGTTCCTTCACATTTTTTATTTTTGGTAACGAAAAAGTCGATAGATGATACGGAGCTGTATTTTATACTTAACATCACTATCATTACCTGCGCACTGTGCTCCCGAGAGAAGGACGGCTTGCCTGTTTTTAACTCCAGAGGTGCCTAAAAGATATTCAGGCGTGTTAAAAATAATGTCAGTATCTGCTCCGGCACCTGCACATTTAATTCACTCATTTGGGTTAAAAATTGGACAAAAGTAATTTCTCCACGAGATCGGTATCGAAAACCAAAGGAGAAGGTTTTATGACAACCTTCTAGAAAGACTGGGTAAATCCCGTACAGCTTCTCATATCGACGTTCCAAAAGGTTTGATGGAATCCAGTGAATTGCTGGATACAAACTGCGACGTACATGGATCAAAGAATTACATACATAAAAATCCTGTAGAGGCGAAGTAGGAAAGAATCAGTTTAAATGGGTCAACATTTTGCCAACTTTACTGCTGAGGAAAGCGCTGCCGCGACTGAACAAACAAATATATTAGCCTGTTCGCTAAAGACTTTTACTCCTTGTGGCCCAAGTGTAAAAGAATTAATTTATTTTCGGGAAAAAAATCCTAAAACCTCTATATGGCCAACCGGTACAACCCGTAAGATATTCTTTAATTTTGAGAGCAAACGTTCTACCTGAGTAATGTTCCGCAGTGGCCTGACGACGAACGAAAACGTTTTGTGAATACGTTTTCATTCAGCGGAAGTGACATGTTTATCGAAAGTTTCAGTCGATATTTGCCATTTCAAATGATGCTTCGTACGCACAAGTTTATCTATAGTGCCGATCGTGACCCTTCTACTGCAGCCAGTAACAAAGTTTTCTCGAAGTAGTAGACCTGGCCCTGAATAGCTCATAAATTGGTACGTCTAGTAACTGTAGCTGGTTTCAATAGTATGGAGGAAGAGTTGCGATGTGGATGTCGTTCTACGGTCTGTTGCATCTTGTCGTTATTTATGATTAGCAGGTTGTTTTTTCCCAGAATGCAGCCGATGGTTACTACAAAATGTTTAAGACAGTCTTAAAATACTTCCTTTGTAAAGCATTTGAGCAGCTCTGCAAGGCCTTAGTTTCCATAGCGCGCATCCATGGTGCGTTCCTTAACAAGGATCTAGGCAAAACAAAACACGGCGGAACTCCGTTTCCACTTGCCGATCGGAAAACAAATATTCTAGCAAGAGTTCCTTGTTCTTATGGCGTCACTTGATCTCCTTGTTTCGTTTTCTTGAACACAATCTTTCCATGCATTCAATCAGTTCACAGTTGAAGTTACAAATAAGTTCAGTGAGTTAAGGATATTTGAAAGTGAATAACTGACTTCTTTCTTGCCTCGTCGCATATGCACAAGATATGCGTTTGAATTGCCGGTAGAAAAGCTAATTACACCGTGCTAAAGAATTCACCGATACCTGGCCTGCGCACTGGCCATGATACCAACCATCCAAGTCCTTTGCAAATGACACGTATGCTGTAGAACTTGCGTGGTAAGGCCTTTCATGATCTTTGTCCATTAGCCAAAGGATGCTGCCAACGCAGCCTTTAAGGTACACTAGATAAACTTTGAAGCGAGCTCGCCTGAAGTACTAGCAGCTGCAACTATCTTTGTTGCTAAGCTATCATTGCACAATAGCACTTATCATATCAAATTCACAAGTTGTCTTGTGAAAAACTTTTTACCTGCAATAGTAACAAATACCTTTTGCACAACGCCGGGCTACACTCTCCAGTTTCAAGATGTATGTTTCCGTTACGTTGAATTCTACTCAGAGAGAACTAATCTATCTAATACATAATCAGCACTTGTTTCACCCAAAATATCCTGAAAAATACGGGCCTATATAGCATTTATAAAACGCAACTGCTTTCAATCGAAAATGCAACTTTGGAGTAAGCGAAAACAGAGCATTCCTATTTTTCATTGTTCAACGGAAGTTCGATATGGGAAAACATTTCATATACATGTTAAAATAGCTTTACATCTTGGTACCGGAAAAAAATTTGATAACGCAAATTGCACGCCAGTTCCGTATTCGAAACTTTTGAATAAATTGCCATTGGCGCTTTCGAAACTCTAAACAAGCATTTGGCGAAAATTTGTCCCACTGTCCCGGCCAGACCTTGCTCTAAAAAAGTGCAGCACAGTACGATGGTACGACATGATCATATAAATGTCAATTTCATAGATGCCTTCTCCGTTCGCCAAGAAACCCGCCTGCTGTTCGGACGGTAGGAATTACTTAACAATTTTTCGTAACATCTAAACGATATTAAACAAACCTTCGTCACCAGCTAACCCAGTGTCTTCAAGACTATGAAATTAAAATGAGCTGCAAACCTGTCTAGCAATATTTCCGTTCGCAGCCATTTCTAGCTCCACAGTCATATCCACTTTGCCTTTTAACCCAAGACGGGGACACCAAAGGTTTTCTTCAATATCCACAACCTCACGAACCCGAAAATCCTTGCGACCTCCTGGACAGTTCTGTTCGTCAGCAAAACCGGGAAAGATATCGTTTATTATGAGCACACACTCTTCACAGATGCGCATAGGCATCAGGGTACGCATCGCGCTAAACTTAACAAATTTCACTTTAATCAATGACCCGTGTGTATTATCGAATGTGCAGTAAATATACTCTGCTCATGTAAGTAGACCCACATACCCCGCGAATGAAACTCAGAATATGAGGAACCATCTGGAGTACGTGTGCTTTGATCTCGTGAGGCGCCGTTCCGAGGAGGTAAATGTCATGAAGAATTGATGAACGTGATAAAATCTCCTCCGTCACTGCGACAATCTCTGAACGTTGTAGTTTTTCGCTCACCGCCTAACTCATGAAAAAATTATTAAAATTAATATGATATTACCGAATCGTACATGTTAGTTTATTTCTAAATGTTTTCATATACTTCGCTGTACAACAACACAATAGCATACCCTTTGAAATACTTGGTGGGCCACCGTCCCTACTAACATATTGGCGTTCAGACCGTCCAACTTCCTGGAAAAAAAATCTTTATTTATCTGCATTCGATTGGCTTCCCACAAGGTCTAAAACCTATTTTAAATAAGATTTTATTATCGAGACGTTTCCATGGTTTTGAAAACAAGATCCTATGGAAACAACGATATATACAGGAAGATGCTTCCAAGTTTTAATTTAATTTCTAATTTATTAGATGTTCGTACTGCTTGTATTAAGAACATTTTTATCACACATTTTTCAAAACAAAAATGAAAGCAGTACGCATTCATTATATTTCGTACAAATCTATATACACATTAGTTGTAACATAACTGCCAGCGCTGTCGTCAATGGGTTATTCCAAATAAGTAACGACGTCGATACCTGAACTTTTGTTGAAGAAGGGCCTTGCGAGGACAAAAAAGGCCGGAAGTAACAGTTGTAACAGAGAGAAGGACATCCGGCTGACAGACTACTAGGCCACCGGACGTTGCGTCTATGCGGCATACTGAACCGCGAAACCATGCAAATACTGATACCTATCACGAACGCAAACAATGCAAGAACATAACTTCGCCTGCTTTAATTACGCTTAAAATATTAATGGAGAAATGCTTGCGTTGCTTAGACTTATTTTTTTCAAAATCATGGTTTGAACATTTCTTTTTGACTGAGCCAAGTAATAGCTTTGTCGGATTCTTAAAAACCTGGCGGACACATTTTTAATGGGTCTCCCACTTTTTAAATGTGGCATGATTCTGTCTCACCTGGTTGTCCCATACGAACATTTGCCAAAACCACCATTGTTATTAAATTAAAAATACGTGTAGTTGCACTTCCTGCTGTGTTCTTGTACTTTACAAGAGAAGCTCTTTGTTTCCCTTAAATTGGTCACCTTCCTTTTATTATAATGTATTTCAAATGAACTTTAATTACACGCCGTTTCTGTCTATAAATCTTCAATGTACTCACCTCAATGCCGGGCTCAAACCGTTCAGAGGCCCAACTTCCCCCTAGAATAACATACACGATATCATCTGTATAAATGCCAGCGGCGTTTTCCTTGTTCATTAGTCCGTTGGCGTCGAAGATGGTATCTTGATCTTTCTGCCCCTTTTCTGTGTCCAGAGTCAGGATTCGGCCTACCAAAAGGTTAGCGCTAGGTTTACTCTCAAAGTTTTCTACAAAGCGCTCAACTGTTAACGTTAACACGCCCCGACGTGGTTTGACATGTTGCACGTCCGGTACGTTCTCCTAGTGAAAACAAACAAAATAAAAGTCGTATATAGTATTAAATTTCCGAACAGATCATATCCAATTTATACAAAATATTTAAACGCTCGTTCCTCAGTCATTAATATAATATAGGATACTGCTATGCCTTGGTTTGAATTAGCGATCCAGTACATTTTCTCCGAGAAAAAGTATTTTTTTTTAGAAAAACGTCATAACTAGCAAGTATCTTTCTAATTCGATTTATAATGATGAGTCGGCAAAATTAAATTGGATATACATTTGGTGACAATAACCTGTCAAAATGTTATTTGCATGCCTATAAGGTAATCTGCGATAATCTTTCGCAGTTTCCTCTGACGAAATAAATAACGTTGGTGCTGCATTGAAGCATTAGTAGAAATAGACGATTGGTATTGGACGTTTCAATATTGAAGAAACAAGTGGGCCTATTTAATTTGTCGCGTATTGCAAATTTTTAGCCTACGTCTGATGAATTTCAGATTATACTGCCGATCAAAATGCACGTGTAGGTTCTGCGCTACTGCGACCAGTTTCTTCACTACTTCCTTTAAAAAATAGTTTCACTTTAATTTCGAATAAAATTGCTTTTAGCGAGTTTAAAATGTGGATCACAAACGAAAAATCAGAAGCAAATTTTGTCCAGAGCCCATATGATGGTTTTTGAAAACTACGATTACGACTTCTACATTTATAGATATGGACACATACATCTCAGGGCGACTTTACGCTCGTCCGATTATTTTCTGACGGATAGTTACGGCTTACGCTAACAGCGACAAATCAAATATACCTATATATTTCTAGGTATCGGTAAAATCATACGAAGGTATCCTTCTAGACGCTTAAATAGAAAGGATTAATCCTAACACAGACGCCGCGGCTTCATTCACCTCCAAGCCGATCGAACGGCATCTAGGAAATTAACTGGTCGGAAATTTACTTGTTGACCGGAAGGCACGGCGAAACTGGAAGACTGAAAACTGGTTAACTAGACAAGTGAAACAACGGTAAGTGCAGGTGACTTCACAGACCTGATGAGCTAACACGTCAAACACTGCTGCATAGCCAGTACGTTAAAAGAAAAGAATAAGATCCCCCAAAAGGCTAACCCGACCGGCAAGGCAGAAAACCCTGCAGGACGATACTCAATGAATTCATAATCAACTAGCTTTTCCTATAAGCTTTGGTTTGAAGCGATATTTAAACCCGTTACGAATCAGGCCCAAAGGTTCACAGTTAGTAAATGCGAATTCAGCGATGCCAGACAAATACTTTAGCAGCACTACTGAATTTTTACTTTTTTTTATAGGAAAGTAAAGACAACGCACCTTGATGGTCATCTTGACTGCATTTTTTACAGGCGATGTTACATTATCGAAAAGATCGTCCGAGTCGTATGAATCCTCGGCATCGTCCGTCTTTACATCCATTATGCCGTGATTTGTAATCCGTTCGCTACTAAAAAGAACTGTAGTAGTGCCGTTCTGCCGAAAAACAAGGCTCTGTTAGTATGCGAACCAAAATTTCGTTTACTCGTCAGAGCTCTAAACGTTTATGGGCTATAGCCTGAATTGTATTAAAGCTTTTACTAATTTGTAAAGATGAAAGTTCCTCTATTGAAACATGTTACCGATGCTGAAGCGCCTGCGCGATAGTGTTCTTTTGAAACAAGATTTTAGAGGACGACACAATCATGCATTGAAACACATAATGTGTGTACATTAACATAGTGTGCCATACTAATCATATCAAACAGTTTTACACATAATTAATCTGTATACGCACTTGAAGACGTAACGGACTCTTACTAACTAGATCGTCAGCAGCTTGTACTACTTTTCCGGGCGAAACTACGACTGACTGTGATGCAATAGGCGATTTATGTTCGACGATCGGTTGTAGGTCTGTGTTTTCATCCTGTTCATCCTGCGAGAATATGTCGGATTTACTTAAGGTTAATATCTTCATCCGGTCTGGCGGTATTCCTGCCGACGTTTTTGGCGGTTCAAGCCGGATTTGAGTTGTATTCGAAAAAATAGATTTAAAACATGATTAAATTATAGCGCAGTTATTGCAATCTCGACTAGTGATATCGCAATTGTTATTATTTGCATGACCTTGAGAGGTAAATATATAAGGCAATTCTATATGGACGTATCGAAACGTTTACCTTAAGCTCTGATGAAGTGCGATGTTTGTCCGGACTTTTGCGGTCAGCCGTGAGAGGGTCACTGTCATTTCCATTCAGATGAACATTGTCAATGTTTCCATTAGTGTCACATGTTTGTTTGCATCGATCTTCATTGCGAATGCTGTTTTTGCTCTTGTTCGCATAAGTGTTGTCCTTGTTGACTTTACCGTACATCATCTTTACACTCGTTGCAACGAATTTAGGAGGTGGACTTTTTGATACAAATTGTTTAGTTACCGCTGCCTCAAGTTTTTGCATGACACGAGCCTTAAAATTCAGACATGCAATAGAATTCAGTATCGTAACATTTTCTATAAATTTCAACGCAACTTAAAACTTACCTTATCTTTTTTTGCAATTCGCCATCGGTGTCGAATCATGTATATTTTATGTAATGTCGGGTTTGGTCAAGAACAGCTCCGCTCCTGGGCTACTTTGTGGTGTAAAAACTACCTCCTTCTGCTTTTAAGAGATAGTAAATGTGACATTATCATTAAAGAAATATCTTTAAACTGCTATGAAAGCAACGAAACTTACTGAGATCAGTAAGACCAGTAGTCGGTGCCCCATCCATGGATGCAGTCACTCCTGCAACCCAGTTTAGCATGATCTGAGCCCACCTTCAGACTATATTCGTAATGTGAGATATTCGTGATCTCCTGTCCAGAACTGTCTGATATAATGCCACAAATTTTTTACCGTATTCAAGTCGAGTGAATTTTCAATTCCTGACAAAACCTAAATATTATTAGCGGTAAACACTTTAGAGGCTCATTTTGCCATATCACCTGATAACTTGCCAAGCATGAGTGCATCGTTCACATCCAGGAGCCGTTGTCGTACCTGGGGTAGCGTTTTTGTTTGATCTGCCTCACTCTATTGTCGTTTTTTCATGATCCCGTTGTATATAAAAGTTATGCGCCGTACATAGAAATTGCGGTCTACTTAGTCGGATGTTTGACTTGTGGAGTCTTTCGCCGGAACGTCCGTAGACATGCGGAGTGTTATCATTTAAAATTTCAAAATGTGACTAATATAAAAAAGAGACCCTTATCCAGTCTTTAATTGTTGGACTTCGGAATTGTTGGCCCATTTGAAACGCATTTACTCCTATGCACAATTTAGGCAAAGCTCCTTTACCGGTTTACAACAACAAGACAACCAATTTCGATACGACGTGGGAGGGTCCTTATGGTCGCAATAATTCTACAGAATTAGTCTTTTCGTAACTTCGATAAAGTGATCCCGTCTCTTCGCTGCGCTATGCATCGTATTCAGTTGTTTCCTATTTTTTTGGTAACAGAGGCACCTTATATTTCACCTTGTACGATACATTGTCAACTGCATATTTCAACGCTCCGATTTAGTCAGATATTTGTTTTTGTAATCTCTCTTTTTAAGTATTTCTATTAGAGTCCGAAATGATCTGCGGTCAAGACAACGTCATTGTCATTGCAGAGATGAAGGTAACGACAATTGCACTTTGTCCCCGATCATCTACGCCTTTCCATGATGCAGAAGAGGACGAATTCGAAGAGCCAATTTTGCTTAATGGCTATGCATGTTATAGTGAACAGTCATCATACTATACGTCACAGTGTTTGCCTCTCCACAACAGTTTAAAAATACTTCTGTAGCAATAATGTGGTCACATGTGCACATGAGCAACAGCGCTCTGCTTCGTCTTGAAATGTGCATACATGAGTTCAAATACAGCCTCTAAAATTCATTGAAAAACAATGCTAATGCATGGCCAAAGGCGTATGCTGGCACTGTTGCCGTTGAAAACGTTGCGCTTTAAATATTTTTATGATATGTTTGATATGCTAGAAACAACACGAATATAAATCACTATAAAACGAAAAAAAAAAAAAAAAAGAGCTTACCTTGTGTTTTGGCACTTCAATATATCGCGGCTGAAGTGGTTTTGGGGCAGGATCGTCGACGATGTTCAATCGGGGAAGTTTATGGACAACCTTTATGGGCGATTTAGGGCCATCGTGGATTCTTGGTGCCGGTCTTTCTGGCGCTGCGGTCGCGTGGCTGTCAATCTCACTAGAGCTCGTAGAAGAAATGAAGATAGCTGTGAACAAAAGAAGGACTAGACTTTTACAAGAAAGCGCCGAATTTCGCTTCCAACGAAAAAGTGTTTGCCTTGCTTTGAGAATCACCACAGTGTGAATCCGATGAAGAAGTAAGTTACTAGATTTATATTGGCATTTTCGTTCCGAAAAATTTCACATACAGAACGAAAAAAAGGAACTGGATCGAAAATATCATAAAAACTCCTAATATTTACATTTGGGTATAGCCGTTGACCCTATATTTGAAGGTATCTGTAAAGTGTCATTAAGGTTGATGGGATTGTCCCGCTGCAATCCAATGAATTTATTATTTCGTTTTCGTGTGTTTGCCCAACTGGCCTCCGCCTGCTTTTCGGGACTGTCCTCCTGACGATTTCTCTTTATGGCTTTTGTTGCCACGTTTACAGCATTCAAGCCCAAATCTGAAAAAAGGTTTCGGACCTTTTACTAACTGTCATCCTGCGCTATAATGGAAACATTATAACATTAAGGATTTGATAATAGTTGTTTGTTTCAAACACACGCAACATACGCGAAACCCCTTTCAAATGACGTTAGTGGATAACGCAGATGGGTGAGTAAAGCACAACTTAGCCGGCGGAGCAAATGGCTAAATCAGTGTCTATGACAAAAATAGTACTAGTACGTTTAATTAAAGGTTACCCTTGGAACAGTTACCAAGGGTCCACGGTACCTTATTCGACCGTTAAGAAACCGCGTTAGTCCTCAGAATAGAAGTGATCTACCTGAGATACTACGATGCAGAGGCTTTGCCATTAGTAATAGTAGTTATAGAAATACTTTACAAATTAGTAGATTATATGATATTACTTACTTGCAGAAGCCCGAGTGGTGTTGCTGTCTTCAGACGCAGCTCTCGAACTAAAAAAATAATCCAGGGTTTTTTGGCCCTTGGTCAAACCCTTTTTCGCAATGACAGAAATACAAAAACATATCCAAAAAACAATTTAGAAATTTTATTAATTTCGTAAGTCTCGCTACTGCCTAAGTAGTAGATAAATCAGCGTATCTGCTAAGTTAAGAGTTGATATTGGGTAATATATACGAACAAAGATAAGATGCCGGTTTGAATTTGTAATAGTAAGTTAATTCCATTGTTACTTTTTTACACTACTTTGTCTTATAATTACTTTTGAATGTTAGCTAGTGCCCAGTGTTATTCAAATCTGTATTTATTAATAAGGATTACCACCTCACCTTATTGGTCCTTGAAGTCATTTTGGGAAATATCACACGACCGTTTGTAGCTATAAGCATTAGCCTTAGTCACATATGATGAATTTCTAATGCTTCGCTTTAATAGATCCAATATGGTGGTCTTGATAGATACAGGAATACAGCTACAAGTTCAGGCCACCGGACAAATCACAATTATACTCGAATAGATTCAGTTGCCTGTTTGCTAACCCGGAGGGACCACTAATAATGATGAGCGTGCCTCATTAAGGAACCTTCTGTGTTACACAACTGTTCTCAAGAACAAAAGCTGAAACCTTTGCAACACTGCCAATCCAAAGTTAATTTGGCGCCAGAATGATAAGGGCGAAGTGGGATACGCACGATATAGTAGTGGGTGTGTCGGTCTTAAGAGAGAAGACGACAGCACGAGATAATCACGCTGTTGCGACGTGGTCTTGTACCGTTCCTCTTACGCTTTTCAACTTACAAATAAATTCCTTGAGGTTATGTTAATTTGCAGCGTTATAATAGGAAGTTGTACGATTTCCAAATTAGGTACGTAGTGCCAGGGCAAAGCATTTAACCATAACTGAAAACTTAGGAACGTTGAGCGATAACTTTATCAGTAGATTTTCTATCTTGCTTTTTGTGGTTTACCATTGTTTAGCCGACTGCATAGCTTCACAGAGGCTACGCCGATAGACCACATAGGGAAAAGTTCTCTTGGCTACATGAAGTTCACTCTATAAGCAAAGCCTGCCAACCTCCCGTTTGTCTCCTCTGGTCCTAGCCATTGATGGAATTACATCATAACATAATAATGAGACCATTGTTTACGTAAAAATCACAAATATATTATTATTTTTGTGCAAAAAAGCTCAAGTCCAGTGTGGCTAAAATTATTAATACTAGCTTTTTTGTTTGAACAATACTAATAGAGATAGCGTTCTTCATGCTAGAACTGCTAGTAGATCTTAGCTATATATATTAGAATTTCGTATCTGTATTTTTTGCAGTAGCAACATATATGCAAATACACTCAGCCCCGTCTGCATGGAAAGCCGAGTTCCCAGCAAATTCTTTATATTTTGTCAGGTTTTTAAAAGGGCCAATAAAGATCAATACGAAATATGCAATTAAACTATGCTACACAATTGTAGACTTGAGGATTCCACTAAAAGCGCTATTTTTTTTTTTATCTATTTATGACTGCTCTGTTCGGAATTTTTCCGACTGCTTAGGTTGCAAAGCTCCACAAACCATGTTTGTCAGAATACGGAAAACATCAAGAGATTTGGAAAGTAAATATAAATAAAAATTAGGATTTTAATGTGACAGATACAAACGTATATGATTTTTCATTCGTTATACTTCCTGCAAAATCTGGTATCATGAAGTATATATTCACGGACATATTTTATTTAATGTGGTAGTATTTGTATTCGCAAAGTGTTTTTGCGTACCTATAACTGAATACGAAGATGCTTTGTTCTTCATATACATAGCATTTTATTACTTTGTCGATATCTTCAGATTGGCTATAATAATGATCAATCCATCAGTTACGTAACGACCTGGCGCAGGTCGGTCGACAGTGTTTCTTTCGTCAGGGCCCGCGGGGAGAAGGAGGCCTCAGCTTGTTGACCCACTTGATCCACCACCGTTTTCACATCGAGAGTGTGCTAGCAGCAATGGGCTCGCGCGCGTTTTGTCACACGATTTCGCAATTATTTCAACAGTTCCAAAACATTTTCCCAGCCCCCACCAACCTGCCCGCCCCGAGTTACCACCCTGTTCCATTTTTGCAGCGATTATGTCTTGCTTATTAATTAATGCTGCTGACTTTATCAGCATCTTTATATAACCCTTGTCCCGTATCAGTTCTTGAAGGAAGGGGAGTTTGCTCGCTCACCCCTTTTTTGCCGTTGCTTTCCTCGGTCGCTTCAACACGTTGCTTCTTTTTGTCGTTTCATTAGTACCTTCTACGTCACTTTCTTTTGCCATTTTCGGTTTCTCATCATCGCTTCCTTCTGTCAATTCGGCTCCTTCGAGTAATTGAAGTCCCTCTCATTTCTGTTTCTCGTCACTTGTGACGTGCTCCACCGCCATTTTGCAATGGATCTTATTAGTTCTCTGTGTTTTTTTCGTGTCGTTCTTTTCTATATCATTACAGCGTTGTATTAAGTGGCACATACATTTCCCTATTGCGCTTGTTTTTTGTTAAGTCAAACCTTTGGGTACCTTCGTTCTTATTTGTTTTACAGGTGTTATCGTTATCATCGTCGTCATAAGTTTTGGCCTGATTTTCATATTGACCGATATTAGTTCCAACCACGGTCATCATTCAATTGATCAATGAACTAATGTATCTTCGTCAATCGATAATCTGCCTTTGAAGCGATCAATACAAGTAAAAATGTTGAACATTAGTATCGTTTTTGGCGTGAGTAGCGCTATTATGAGTCGTCTGTAATCGTTGGTATCCTATTGTATTTTTCTTCTGTGCTGTGTGTCCGCACGTGTTTTATCGTTAGTCAAGTTAAACCAAAGTTTTCTTACGCCATTAACTTGTGTTCTTGGTCACACATTTTACAATCTTGCGCAAACTAAACTTCTTTTCAAGTAACTTGTTAATTAAATGTGTTGCAGACGTAGCTTGTCCCTTCTCTCATATTTAGGTATAGTAAAGCTTTCTGACATTCTAACAAATAAAAAATTAAAGGATTTATAAACCCTAGGATTGTATGCGCATGAGAGGCCTGTGCACCTGCACACTTGACATACCTGGAGTTCCATTGAATTAACTGCCATCAATCATATCAAACCATTCTCCGTAGCGACGATAACCGAGCATCTACTATTTTTTTTATGGCAAACAAACGGCAGCCTCATTTCAAGGGCTCACATACGTGTGTTTATGTTAGCAGCTTCGTGTACATTTGTCACAGTGCCATTGCTCTTCCGTTGAAGCCTTACAAGGCCGAAAAGTTGCTCAATGTCAAAGTTGCATGTGTGCGCGTCAACGATTTTGTCTAAGTTTCAGCTGTCTACCGAGCTGTGCAAGTGCCCCGTCCCAAGTGTCCTCCAAAGGTGGGGGGCCACTTGGGACAGCGCATGCTACCAGCAACTGCTATAAAATAACGTCAACTCGTCGATGTTATTTTAATACGAGTACGTATTGGAGTGTCCGCATATATTATGTAATATCTGTAGCATTAAAAAATGATTGCAATTTTTTCTATTCGTAAATATATTTGTGGTTGGCTCAGTTGTGGCTATTGGTTTTATCGTCGTTGTTAAGTTCATTTCTGATAAGTGCTGACATTCTGAAGTCTGCTGAGGCTTGTATCAACAATAAATCCTATTCTCTGTTATGGTTCGTGATTAGCTGACTCTTACGCCGGTCCTATCACATCTTTCTGCCCCGTGATGCATGAAAATGGAATATCGCTCCTTTCTTGTATCTGAACACGAACCCGTTTTAGCGACGCGTGGCGCAGTCTCTATATTCGTGCTGCCTTACAGGACCATCAAACAAACCCAGCCTGGGACCATGTTCTTATGCTGCGAAGCTCTACGTTCCGTACCATTATCTGTCTTGGTGAGCTTAGTTCCCTCTACACCTCGAGTTCCCTAAAATTCCTATTTTCTTACAGTGTCGCCACTTGCGACAGCAACATTTTCTTTTCATTATTTTTTCCATTTTCTTCGTTCATCATCTTTCTTCGGTTATTTCACAGTTGTTTTTACTCTGCTCGCTGCCGTACTGCCATCATCATCGTCGTCGTCGTCGATCATCAGCCTTGTTTCTCAGTGACCATTATGGATCACCACTTATGTTCATTATCATTATTATTACTATCGCCGTCACCATCAGTATCATCGTCATAATCAAATAGAAAACGATACAGCAGGGCATGACACGGTATGTCTTTGGAATATAATTCTAATATAATTAATAATCGTAGTAAGCGTAGAGTATTAAGTTGACTTAGCAGAGAAGCAGGGCGTATCGTCGTCACCACTGTCGTCTTTACGATTCGTATAATCATTATTGATCGATCAGTCATCAATCAATCAATCAATCATCATTATCATATTCAAGCCATCATTATTATCCATAGTGATCAGTCACTCAGCGTAGTATTATTATTATTTGTTTGTTTGTTGTTATCGGTATTCGTGTACGTATGTCCGTCCACGGGCTCCTTAGTGTCCTACGTCTGTCAACAGCGGCTTCGCCAGCCCGCGAGCTGTTTTTCGTACATCATCCTTGTTTGGCTCTTCATAAATCGATCTGTCTGCTACTAATTTTGTCCTTACACCTTGAAACCACAGTGCCATATTTTCGAAACTGGCTACTTTGTGCCCAGCTATATAAACCTGTAACGACTTCTCGTATCGTCTGCTATTAGTCAAAATGTAACCAATACTAAATTGAATTCTGTACAGATTTCCGTTGTTTGCCGTTTTTAAGGCCGCAATCATCGTAATCGTGTCAAGAGTACCTGATTGTATGACGGTGACAGAAGAAATCGAGCGAACAATAATACGATAAAACCAGCGAAAGCAATGCTATTGTTTCATTGATCTCTATGTTTTTATGCGCGTGAGTCTGTCCATGGTGAGACACGTGAAAACAAAGCCATTATGTTTCTGTAGTAAACAATGCAATATGTCATCTGGCAAAGGGGTAGCTAAGGGGAAGAAGAGTCTCTACTACTAGCTCTATTATTGTGACAGTACCTGTGTGGTACGTTCGACAGAAATGTCAAACACTCGTTTGTGCTAGCTAATCTGTATAGCGTTATAGTCATTGTTATTATTATTATTGCAACACTTTTTTTGGTATAATCTCAATTTCAGTATTTATTGCATCATTCGATTATATTGGTCGAAAAGTCGCATTGTACCCTGTACTCAATAATTAAAAAAAAAAAAAAAAAAAAGAAAAAAGAAAAAAAAAACATCTCTGATTTGGTAGTAGAGCACTATCTGACTTCGATCTTTATTTCAAGCGATTTGCATAACATTGCGGAAATTGAGTATCTATAGCAAATGGGCTATTTTAGCAATTGGTATTGAAACTGTTGTCGCGGACGGCGAACATTTGCCATGAGAACAAATCTTACTTGTGATTTTTAGCATCAAGTCAAGTGTACAGAAGAAATGGCCCAGAGAATAACCCCCCGTGGTTAACAGCTTAGCGAAGCTGATGTTTTTCAACGAATCTCTCTAATTGTTCCTTATAGCTAATTTTACAAATAAGTTTTCGCCTGAAACGAACCAATCACCAGTCACTGCATCAGAGCTGGATGTCGCGCCATAGCATAAAATGTTCGACATACAAATGATCCAAAAAAAAGAAAAAGAAGTCAACGATTATATGTACTTATTCAAATGGATGCCAACACATAAGTACTATAACAAAAACGAACCATCGAAATAATATCGGCCATTTTCCTTCTCAGATTTTCCGATAGATTGTGAAGCGTCGGCTTAAGTCTGTCATTTTTGTTGTGTACAGCTGGTAATCGTATTACTGTACGACTAGCTGGCTGGCTTTTCATTTTGGCGTCGTGTTAATCTGCTGTCTCTGCCTCTGCATGTTATATTATATAGTTATTATACGTCGATAATTGTAATGTATAATAATTATTCGGATCAACCTTATTATAGTTGTTACAGTGGAATGTATTCGTTGGCATGTTGTCGTCAAAAGCAAGAATTTAGTTGGTAATTTTCAAAAATTACCAAACACAGACAGACAGACAGACAGACAGACAGACAGACAGACAGAGAGAGAGAGAGAGCGAGCAAGGGGGGAGAGATGGACAAAGAGAGAGAGATAGATAGATAGACAAAGAGAGAGGGGGGGGGCAGGGAGAGATAGATAGAGAGGGGGAGGGGAGGGGAGAGGGGCGGGAGGAGAGAGGGGGAGAGAGAGCGAGAGACAGCCAGACAGACAGATAGATAAGGGTGGATTTGTGTGTGTGTGTGTGTGTGTTGTATAGGTGTATGTGTGTGGCGGGGGGAGGGGGAGGGAGAGGGGAGGGGGTCAGGGTCGGGATAGGCAACATTTGAAATCTTTATCAACGTCGGTCGCTTCGACCAAAATACCAAAGTGTGTCAATATGTCAATAATTATTTATTAGTAATATAATAATAATTAGTAATATTCTTATAATCATGATTCATTTTACTTACGTGTTATTATTGGTATCATAACAATTATATAATTATAACTATAATAATGATAATTCCGCCATTAGCAGCTGGCGTAGCGGAATCGGTCAGCGTTCATCATAGGCTGTCCTAATAATCGTCATAACAATAAATATAACTAATTATTATAATTATATTAGGAACTGGAAAGTAATCAACTAAACATTACGTTATAGTTATCATTCTCATATAATAATTAATAGTATTATTACTATTATTATTATCGCCCTTTACTTTTCATAGTTTTTATCGCTAGAATCGTTATAATTATTCTCGTTTTATTATAGTAGCGTCACCATGAGCATCATTGTCGAATCGTTGCCAATCAATAACAGATTAATGATAATAGATCAGTCATTTGGATAATAATGATAGTAATTATAATTATTGTCAAAAATGACACGACTGTCAGTAGTTGCACACTGCGTAATAATAATCAATGTCAATAATAACTACTATAATGAATATTCATAATAATAATAATACTGCTAATTATAATTAGTGTATTGTGTATCTGTAATTTTTCAATCAGTCTCCATAATCATCTTCTTTTTTTAGCCTTATGTTTTTTTCTGTCTTCCTTGTCACAGTTCAATGCCTGCTCGTTTTTAGTATTGTTGTTGTTATTACTTTATATTATATACATAATTATTGTTACTGCTCGTGTTATCATTATTTTTTATCATAATTATTAGTGTTTTCATTGGAATTACCCTTTTCGTCATGACCACCGTTATACATCTGTTTTATGTATAATTATCATTTCGTCACCAAACGTTCACGCTTTCCGCACTCGTACTTCATTCTTTATACTCAAGTCTTTAAAATCTCATTCATTTTTTTTCCATAGAGCGATTTGTTTTCCTTCCATCTCTATGCGTGCCTCTAACCTCGGCGCGATTCCGTCTGCGCATCGTAAAAAATCGTATGCAGTTTGTTTGTTTGTTACGTGTATTATATCTGTTTGGATTCATGCCACTCAGCAAGGTTGAATCAGCAATAATAATAATGAATGACCTATAATGTTAGTGTTGTTGGTGTCTTCTGTGCTAAATTACAGGTGACAGGCCCAGACGCGGTCGTTGGCCGCTGGATGCGCTGTTCTTTGCGCTGCAACAAACACCATGGGTTGTTCCCGATCTGTTCGCTCTCTTCTTTTCGTCCTCGTTTGTCACGCACTCATACATTGACACGTACACTGAATAATGGAGAGTCGTGTCAGCCTGTTCTATATCTAGGTATTTTCTGTTTTTCTCAAGTTCGGCGAGAGCTACTGGCGTCATCGTCGTCGTCGTCGCCGTCGCCGTCGTCGCCACCGCCGTCGACATTTACTCTTTTCTGGTTCTCGAGCCACTCTCTCACCAGCTTAGACATATAGCTTCCACTATGTCTGTAATTATTCTTAGTCACGCTGCCTTCTTATTAGTTAATTATTCATTACAATAATTATTATTGTTGTTATAATTATTATTTTATCGTTAGTATTATTAGTACCATCATCATTATGCCCTTCTTCATCAATAATTAGTGTGGTCTTCGTCGATCATTATTGTTTTATGAATAGTCTACAATATATAATTATAATAACCTTCAATCATTATCATAATATAGAGTAGCAGCATTCGTTATAATTAGCTCCACCTTTTCTTCATTATGATCATCGTCATAATATAATCATCATTATTGTTCATCAAGTTCTTCTTCGTCGTCGTCATAATGCCATCCTTCACCGCGAGAACTTTCAATGTTGAATCATATTATCATAATCATTTATAATAATAATAATTATTATTATTATTATAATTAACCTCTATAATAATCATTATCATCTTTCTCTTAGCCCATGTCTCTCTGTCATCATCTGTGACCTTTTTCCGTTCCACCTTTATTATAGCTATTCACTGTATTTATTTTCCATCGTCCACCTACTGTTTCCGTTCGATCTCGATAAGTTTTCTTTTCTATTCGCACCATATATGTTGTTGCTATTATTGTTAGTATGTTTTTTTTTGTATGATACTAACTTATACACTCTCTATCCGTAAATATAATGTTGAAGTTTGTGTATTTCTTTTTGTGTCCGTTGCTGTTTGATGGCCAATGTTACGCACGCGTTTGAGTATGTAGATTCACATGTCTCATCTTCTTAGCACAGAGCAATAACGTTTCTAGCAGGATAAGTGTTCCATTGAATAACAATTGCAAGTCAGTAAAAATAAGCTGAACTCCATGCCGAAGTCGAATAGGTATCGTTTGTTTTACTGAGGACATCGAAGAGCTCCGTTTGCACCGCAAAATCTTCTCGTAGACCCATGACGATCCAATAATGCTTCCATCGTAACGAAGAATTAGAACAAAAAACGGTCCAAGCAAGTAACCAGCACTTGATTCATGCATGGCTTCGTCTGACCTACGCGCTTGTATTTCATATGACATCCCTACATAAAAATTTGACGCGCATCGTAAAAAATAGGCTCTCAAATTGTAACTGAATTTGTGTTGCGTAGTCCTTGACTGGCCTTTTAGTCGGTTTGGGAACATCGGTCACGAAAACAGATTTAAAATTTAACTTGAAATAAAAATGACTATATACAGAAAGATATAGGCTATACCCTAAATGAAATGAATGTATCAGATGCCCGTGGGGTGGAACGCGCGCTTGCGTGTGTCATTGTGTATGTGCGTAATTTTAATGCCAAATTCGTTTAGTTGTTTATTCTTGTGTGTGCATTGCATCGTCACTGAATGTAGGTGTGTGTGTGCATATATATATATATATATATATGGTTATTTATGTAGATGTATTTCTGTTGCTGATGTTTTTGGCGGGAAACGGTCACAAGCCAAGTGGCCCGAGTCAAGCGAAGATTACTGAAGCCGACTGTTGAGCAGTTGAATATTTGTTATTGGTTTGTTCTTCGGTCTTCCTCTGCCTTTTTGTTCATTACAAGGATTCAGGTACCTTACCTGTAAGGTGTACAGCCAGTGCCAAAATAAAACGAAAACACTATCAGCGATCCTATCTTTATACCCAGTTTCTTTTATATCGTCTTCTTGGTGGAGTTTTTCCATTCAACTTCGGTCTTTACCTAATATTTACACGTAGTAGTTATTACTCAGCAAATAAGCTTCACACAACATTAGAGAAATTATATTGAACTCACTAATTAAATTACGTTTTGTCTAGTTAGGAGACTTCAACTCTGACGTCGTTTTTATGGCTTTAGATGGCAGCGTTCTGCATGGACGCAGTTTAAGCGCGATCTGTTACAGATTGATGTAGATTGTACGCACGCCCGGACCAAAAATGCGTGTCATAATAATAGTAATCATCGTCAAAAAAATAAGTACACGTACCGCAGTGAGATGAGCACTTGCTGATAACAGACGTTGAGAGGAGTATTTATTTACATTTGTAACTTGATTTGAAGAGACCGTCGACTTGCGGCTTCGGAATGACGCGAGGCGGACTGTGCTCGGACTTCTGTGTGCTCGAATCTGCGTTTCTGTTCTGTCGCTTATTTACTTTTGTAGATTTCCCGCGGTTTAGTTTTCACTGCGTTCATTTTTCTCGTTATTATTATTATTGTCTTTTTTCTTATAACAGGTGAATATTACGTTCGTCCTTCCTCTTCGACTTCCGCCCAATTGATCATTTTTATTTTACGTAACTGTCTCCTCTCTGTATCTACCCCTGTTTAAGTTTCTGTGCGGTTGTTGCCTCGCGCTCTTACTATTGTTGTTATCATTATTAATATCATACATTTGTTTTTTTTTTTCAATTATGATTTATGCCCGCTTCTGATGTTCCAGTTGCTGTTATCATTCATCGTCTCTTGTCTTTATTGTTGTTGTTTTTATTATTAATTATCTTTTCTTTCTTTTTTCTGTTAGCAGGATTGATGAGTGATGATTCTTCGTACTTCATGTCCTCTTTTTTCGTATTGTTGGCGTCCCCTCTTAAAGAGACGAAATTTATGAAGTTGCAGCTGCTACCTGATACTATCACTGCTCACATTTCTTTTGTCATTGTCTCATTAGTATTAGCGTATTTTCTACGCGACGTAAGAACAACGTTGGCCGTCCTGCGCCATCATCACCGTCGCCATCATCGCCATGACGTTGTTGACGTTTTCACCGGTTCGGTATTTATTGTCTTGTTGCACTATTTGCGCCTGTTCCCTCCTGACTTTCTCTTGGTTCATTTTTCCGCCCGCTAATGTTGTTGTAGTAATAACGTAGCTGTTTTTGTTCATAAATCTGCTTCGAAGGGCAGTTTCTTTCTGTGATCCTTATTTGGCGATTGCCGTTCTTCTCCCTGCACATCTGCAAGTCATTTCCTTCTGTTCGACAGTTGCGGCTCGTCAACGCCCTATTTTCGTCCTATGTCGTTACGATTTTACTTACCCTGCCACCCCCCGCCGGCATTCCTGCTCACCGCATTGTTCTTCATGATCATTCGCCGCCATTGATAAGCCTTCCTTCAGAGCTAATCGTATTCATGAATATAGTACAACTCGTAGTCAGCAGGTCACCAAGTTTCGCCGTTTTCCGCTCGTCTGTTTCCCTAGTTGTGTTGCTTTTGTACCCCCCTTTTTTTCTGTTTCGCTATTTAACGGAAGCGGAAAAATATTACTAAAAGTTCGTACAGATTGATTAGCACTTTGTTTATTAACTGTATCTAGAGAGTTAATCATCATTGCGAATGCTTCTAACACGATCCTGAAGTACTGCTGAACATGTGCCCTATGTTCGTGCTCTCCTTTCGTTTAATAGTTGTAGTAATATAGTGGTGCCGTTTAGAGTTCTCATCAGTTTGTAGTAAGTGTAGGCTTTTTTCAGTAGGTAATAATCATAGTAGACGTAATACTGTCAGTAGTTATCATTAACCAATGCTTGAGCGAGCGCGCGAGGAAGGGTAGAATGTTTGTCATGACCTTCTGCACGTCGAACATTCTGAGCACACGAAAACACGCTTTCTCTCTCTCTCTCTCTCTCTCTCGCTATCGCTCTCTCGCTCTCTCCCTATCTCTCACACACACACACACTATCTCCTTCTCTCCCCCTCTCCCTCTCTCTCTCTCTCTCTCATCTAACCGTATTCTTCATCGATGTGATAATGCTTCATCCGCCTCTGTGATGTGTTCTGTTACCATACGACGTTGCCTGAGGAGGCATATAGGAAAAGCCTTCAGACTCGAGCGATGCAGCAGGTAAGCCGACAACGTGTGAGTACGTTTGTTTCTGTATGTGTGCATTGTGACTAGTGCCAGATGAGCATTCCCTTTGACGTTCCTCACGGTTGTCGAGTGCTCATACCAGGTCTTAAATGTCTCGTTGATGTCACGGGTCATATTTGTAGAGCATACCCGTTTGCTGTTTAGGCCACTTCTTGTTCCTATTTAGCCGTCCATCGCAAATCTTATGAGAACAGGCCGCACACGTACCATGCCTATTGTCGGCGGCCCCGTTCCGTCTCGTGCATGAATGTAGGTTGTTGCCGCGCTGATTGTTGTGCGCTATGGATGAATGACGCTGTGTATTTGTTGATCGTGTATCATTATCTTACTTGTATTGATGATTTGTTTGTTTTTACACCGTCCAACCGCTGACCTTCTTGTCTAGCAGGTGAGATCTTTTCCACTATTCCCGTTTGTTTGTTTCGTTTTTGTTTAGCATGTGTCTTCGGGATGCTGTTGATAGTGATGATGTGGCGGCAATGGAGGCGGCTCGTCGAGTTCAACCTCCTCGTCGCCTTCTTCCTCAATTTCCTCGTCTTCTTCTGGAGGCGGCTGTGGAAGCTGCTGCCCCTCGTACACCCCCATGCTCATCGAAGTTCCGAGAGTATTGTGGTAGTCATTGTACATAAAATACTGCCGCTGCTGGCCCGCGGAAGACGTCGGCGTTCCGGGGCCAAGCGCAGATCCCGCTGACGGGGGCCCCGCTGCGCTGCCTATCGTTGTTGCGGCCGCTGCAACAACGTCCGTTGATGTCATACGCCCACTGCTAATGACGTTGTCGATACGTGCGTCGCCACCACCAGAGCCTTCTCCTCCTGTGTACACGGATTATTACAGTAGTACTTCTTTATTTCCCATCTGGGCACCTGGGAAGGGAAGGGACAGAGGCGGGACAAAAATGAAAAATCAGAAAACTTGCGAATCGGCTTGCTGCCAGGCCATACAAACGCCCAAATACAGAAGTAAGGTAGCAAGCGCCAAGGGCAAATTTCTGAATCCACCAGACCACAACAGAAACGTCGTGTCAATTCGCTCAAAAAAGGAGTGAAAATATGTATATGTCCCACTGTGGTGTTTAGTTGGTGGGCTAAACAAACGACGCGTTCAAAATAACTATAGAACCCCCTGGATACTCAAGCACATGTAACAGTTTAAGGATTAGTCTGTAAATTGTCAGCAAGATAGTGTACAGCGGAAACAAACATGCAGATCTGGCGAGCCAAAAATTTGTCTATAAACGCGGGGCCGGTTTTCATCGGGCCGTATTTATGTACGTAGAATTTTCTCTAAACCACGATACCTACGCATGCGTGACTGGAGTACGGACACGTGGAATCCAGCTTTTAAAAAATCTGAAGCCAAATACATAGTAAAAAGATAAACGGAAATACTCTGACCGAGCCCATATGTGCCCCTATGCTTGAAGAAAACAAAATGCTCGTACACTCCCCGTTAGTTGAACCGATCAAAAATGCTTTGGGGCAACTTCGTAAGCAAAAGGAAGCGCTCTAGTAAGCGGTGCGATTGCTGCTAGCCAAGGAAAGAAGCACGAGGCTGTTCTATGGATAATTTGGAGCTATTTATGGTCATAGGTAGACGCCATTTTTTTTTTTGAAAAAATGGTCACACACGGGACAAAGATAAACCATATATAGACAAACAATCTAACACTGATGAATTGTCGAGAAATGTGCGGTCATATAAAACTGACATTTTATCCGTAAAGTGCGATACAAAATATTCGATATTGCTTACCCGTTAGCGGAGCTGAACCCGGCCTAGGTTTCCAAATAGGCGAGCTTGCTTCTTCGGATTGTTGCTCATCATAGATTTGATTCTGGTTATTAGTCGATGACTGAATGAGGCGAGCCTGCTGTGATCCGGACTGACCGCTCGACACCTGCAATAAGCAGCGGCGTCGAAGAACCAGCAGTATTCTGTATTGCTATCAGCCCTTTCACTATGCGTGTAGAACTTATCAAAATAGTTGGTGATTTATGAGAAAAGTTAAAGGCATAAGTATTTTTATGTATCGAAGCTTACATTTCCACAATACAGATACTTTAATGAACATTTCTTCAAAGAAGTCAAATCAGCAAGTGAATATTCCCAAAGATCAATTATTTACATTGCCCATCTTAACATGCGATCCATTGACTACCAGCATGACGACGGACGCTGCGTATGGGTCACAACGTATGACACGCGATCGGCATTCGCATTAAGCGTCGAGCTGATATTGCGATTCTGGGCTGAGCTGGACAAATTATCGTGACTCGTCATACAAGCGCTCTAACGTACCGATAATGACGAGTGAGCCCGAGCTGATGCTTCGATAGGGTTGAAGAGAATGTCTGGCCGGTGTTCCTCGAGATTGTCCGACTCATCGTTGTCGGATGGTTCATCCGGCATCTGCATCGAAGGCTGCTGCATCTGCTGCAACTGCATGCCGCGCTGGGTACGGGCTACCACCGCTGCAGCGGCGACGGCTCGTAAGTCCGATGCCGCTACGGCATCCATCGAGTCCGTCACCTAGGGCGACGTACGCAACGAGCGCAAGCAACCACCGCCCAGGAGAGAGAACACCCGGAAACGCCGTCCGTATCACCACCACATGCACGTTGTTAACGCTTACTAAGGGAAGATGCGACTACGTTCTACATACATTCTATTTAGCCTATATACTATCATTACCAATGGTACTGACGTATCTGCATGAATGGCCACTTTTAGCTTATTAGCCTAAGATTTTTATTAGGTGATGCTGAGATCAAGGAACCCACAAACGCCCGAACTAAGCACACAAACATGACGCATTTACATAGCAATGGGTGCAAGAATTTACGATTAATTAATTTAAAAAATAAATAAATCGACACGTAGATTTCTATGAAGGTACTAATCAGTCTTCATAGGATAACGATGTAATAGAGGGTGCCATGGTGCATCATAGCCATTGTCGGTCTATAATAGGGTTAAAGGGTTATACAGTAAAGCTGAAAGGCGATTTACTCGACAGTTTGCGGTAAAACTAGTTTAGGAGGTCAACTAAATATGGTAACAGAGTATTAGACAGCTCAACAAGCTGCGGGATGTTAGTTGTGTGCTTCTATATTTTGTTTGAGGAACTGCGTATAATCGATAACATGACTTCAGCGAATGCGCAAGGCTTTATAGCGTGTAATACTAATGTCGCCTGCGCGTGAAAGGCAATATCGTTCATTCACTTAGAAGATCTTCGAACGTGGCATTTATGTAGCATGAATGCAATCCAATGAAATCAGTTGTGCAACTTTTCAGGGAGGTTTTAGACTCACGGTTCGACTGCGCGTCCTGAAATCACTGGCGGATGCAATGGTGCCGGTCGCCCCGTGTAGCGGCGAGGAGAGAATGTCTCCGCTGCCTCCGAGGACATCCGTCTCACCCGAGTGCCTACTGCGCCGCTTGCCGCTCAAAGTTCGCGTCATGGTCTGCGCCCCGCTGACCTTGCTAAGGCCGGGGTTGTTAGCCCCACCCGAGGCTGCGGGTACCGTCATGTTCCTCACGCTTTCGCGGATAATCTGACGGATCGTCCGAAGAAACGCATTCCGAAAGTCACTTGTACTAAAATCGTAGCAAACGGAAAAAAGATATTTAAACGCTGTCTCCGTGACGGTAGAGCCTAGCGTGTCTGCTGATCAAACTTAGGACCACAAGAAGTCGTATAGGTTCGAGCCTAAACGAAGGCCCACCTCACTTCATGCTGGAAGCCCGCCGTCTGATGCAATAATGAATCGTAGATAACCATACATAAGACCCGTCGAAATATTTATTCAACAGTGCGGCCATTGTAAACCTTCCTCTAGCTCTGCATGCGTGTATGTGTATGTGCATTCGTAGATTACCTGATTTCAAGAGTACCAACTAAGTGTGCTTAAATGTTTCGCTAAATTTTGTCTATCAACACTAGATTTGGGTATAGACAGTATTGCTTCCAACGGTCATTTCGGCTGTCTTGAAAATCATGCTTCGGAAAAAATTACCTTCTACGAAGTACAAGACATATAACACAAATCTACAGCCATTGTTGTCTGTGCTACATTAATCCAAATCGTACGTTTACCTATTGGAAAGCTGATAGAGTTTTTCCGAGCGCTTCTGAATCTGCGATTTGAGGTGAATGAGGTCCCAGAGAAAACGTGACTCAGCGTCTTTCTGGTTGCTAGCTCTAACTTGTACTTCGGTGACGGGTATCAGCACTTGGTAGCGAATGATTTCCACCTCATTCGCGCCCGAAGAACCCTTAATTGCTCCGCCCTAGGATTAAATATAATTCTGCTATTAGTATGCTTTCAAGTTAGATAGTTTAAGCGGAACTTCAAGGTACATCATTTAAGCAAAACTATCGAAAGTCATAGATAATTGTGTTATATATATATATAATAAAATTTTCTTGGCGATAATTGCTGCGGGAACTACACTTGACTCATTTTGTGCCTACCAGATTAGCTATTTCATCGCCAGATCATACCTTCCAGCCTTCTCTTAATGAAATCTGCATAAGCTGATATCGTTATTTTCCGTGGCAACGCTAAAAAGGACTCTAAAAGGGTATTTTTTGCTTGCTTGTGAACAAATCAATCTTGTTAGCAAGACCATGCCGGTAAATGGAGTATAATCAACAAATTTTTTGCTGTAAAACCTAAATTGAAGCTTCCCTATCATTTTTTCATCGTCATTGAGTTGTAAATTAAAGGAAACGAGTCATGAATGGTGAGCGAGACGTGCACATATATCATAAACAGATAGCGATGCACGTATCTCTTTAGACACTGACATTTAGTTCTGGCGTTTTCGTCCGTAAAGGTGAACATGTGCAGGCCAGATAAGCCGTCCAGCAATTGTACTAATTGTTATCTATGAAACTTCTATAGTTTGAACTGCTGTCGACAGCCTGATAATCGATAAGGCTGTGCAAAACTGTCTATACTACGTGCCATTAGCTTCTTCTTTTGTCGGATCCGTTCTTTACATAGAAACACAACGGCCGTGCGGAACACAAAACACATGGCGTGAAGCTCGAGACCCTTTTTGATCTTGCCGAGAAACTCGGCGATGTTGAGCCACTCGACGCCCCCGTAGTAGAGCAACTCGCCCGGACTTAGGTCGACAGCCTGCTTGGTGGTGCGCGTATGCTGTCTGTAAAGGTGCTCGAAAATTGCCCCGTACTCCTCGTGAATGCGCTGCATCTCGTTGATGTGTTCCGCCACCCTTTCCATGCCTAGACAGATAGAACAAAATCGTTGTCGTGTTCGAGTGATGTTATTTATATGTATTGTTACTGGCAGCATCAAGGCTAAGCAACATAAGTTGTAAACAGATAGAGCCTTTACTGCGCTCCAGCCGTCTTCTATTAACAGTAAAAATTATATCTAGGACAATTATGGCAGCAACGATTACCAGCCTATTATAAAATCGATATTAACAACTCCGTTTTTTCCCGCCAGTAGCGTATAGTTCCCACCTGCGTGTGACGAAGCCCATTCAAACAACGATGCTAGGTAGATACGCAGTCGGTAGCTAGCAAACACCTTTCAGGTCCGTCTGATAACCTGCCTTTTAGCTACGAGAGCAAGTGGCTTTCGCAAGAAACACTCAAGCGTTACTGCCAACTTATTAGAAATGTTCCTTGTCGTCCAGCGTGAGCAAGCTAACACTCTCGTCTTATCGGTTCTAAAGAGGAAGCTCAATCAAGTTTTGGCAAGACGACATTCGCGATGAGTAAAGGAGTTTGCCGCGTTCCCTTGAACGTCTCACCAACGTCGGTTCGTTAATCCGTTAGTTAGCTATATAGAATTGTCTGTCTAGATGTCTCTTGATGCCCGCAAAATCTACGTGTTGAAAACGTGGCCATACGCACCCTTGAGGGCCTCCGCCAAATGTTGATGCTCTTCGGTGACCGGGTCTGTGAGGTGCTTTAACTGCTGAAGAAGCAACGGGTACTTGAGGATCCTCTGAATTGGCTTGATGAGGTAGGACTCAAGGGAGAAGCTGTGAGTCCCTTTGCGGTTCTGCACCGACGATGTGGACCCCGCGGAGCACGTCATCTCGGACGTAAGACATGCTGACGCACTGCTAACAGTGCCACTTTCCGCTAAGGGATCAATTAAAGTTCATCAATCGTAAGCCGATTAGAGTAAGCATAGCGGACCTATAGCTGCCCTGTCGAGCTCTCTTTCTTTCATGGCGGGATGTTACGATCCCATCAGTATCTACCAAATGATTCTGTTCACTATTGTATGTCACTTGTTCATTCTGTTATACGCAAGGCATGTATCCCGTAAGTTATAACGTCAATGTATAGCTGCTATTATGCGTAATGAGCTGATTGCGTTAAATCTATTATTTGCACGGTTGTTGAATGGATTGTAGGAACTGGAATAGAAGGAACTGGACTACAATTGATGGGGCATTAACTGTCATAATGTCGATAATGTGTGTGACTAAGCGGTTGGTTTTGCCGGTCTACCAGGGAACATGTACTTACTCGGGTGTAGAACCTTCTGTGCCTTTGAATGACTAGCGCAGAAAGAACTGTACAGCTTAAACTGGTCAGTGTAGAACATGAACGAGTTACCCAAAGCAAACAGGATATTCTGTAATAGACAAAGGTGGGAATGGCAATAAGAAAAGAGCAGCAATCCAAACCTATTTTAACAAAACATACATTGAGTTCACCTTTTTAAACAGTGAGCTTTATTTAGTAGGTTAGCGGTGGTTTTAGCGCAGATTGGATAGATTATATATAAGATAGCTAGTAAATTGTAGGTAGCGATGATACATCATAATGTTTACCTTGAAATAGTTAGGATGTTCGAGTTGCATGAAGCCGGACTCCATCTGAATGGCATCCTCAAGACTTTGTAGAAATTGTTGTTGGAATTGTACTATATCTTGTATATTTCCAAATAAGGCATTGATTTCGCTGTTAGCGAAAAATTGTTCGCGCTTAGTCGGTTCCAGATAGTTTTCCAGTAGACTGTTGAGATGCTGAAATTTTCAAAAGCTAACTCAATTTACGGCATATATTTCTATATCCATGCACTGTGTTCTGTCCCCGTATGTTGCGTTGGGTCTGCGAGCCCACGCTCGATTTTCGAGTTTTCTTTATACGTCGTGCGAAAAAGAGCTTGCTTAGCGCCTGAATCCTTCCCTGATGTAGATGAACATTTGGCCCTCTTTGCAACTGTCGAAGTCACACAAAGTACCCGTTCACTTTATACGTGAATTGCCCTAGTGCTGTTACATAGAAGAAAGTTACATACTAACACAAACACTTCAATTAAAAGGCTCTTTAATTAACAGTAGCCCATTTGGACCCAGCTAGAAGCAGCATAGCATGATCTGCATTATGAAAACGATGAAGCTGAATTTTACGCCACCTAGGAAACATCCCTGTTAGCGTAATATGATTTATCAAACAACATTCAAATCGTAGACACAGTATGAACGCGTACGTGTTTATATCTTATACCGATTTTACAATGGGCAGAAACCGTTCCTAGCAAGCTAAATTCGAATCACTGGATTATCCAGAAATCGCAGACGTCTATCACGGCTCGCGGCGGTATCATACTTGCCGATGAACTTGTTTTTCATCGGAATTAGTATAGCTTGATAAAATAGGTGTTTTTTTTTTATTTAATTACGCTGGTTTCTAAACATGGAGAACATGGAACTAAACATGGATTGGTCGCGAGACGCGCCTTGACGACGTTCGTATCAAACCACCGGTGACCCCGTAATACTGCTGTGCTTCCACTAGTTGGAGATCGCGGATGAATCAGTGCTAGCACTCAGCTTCATCGGCTTAATTACATTGTGTACTCGGCTACTGATCCTCGTTGACGTGAACCCATATAAAGACTCACACACGCAAGCTTTCAGAATCGTATCTAGTTGGAATCGGTCTGATACAACTTCACTCGATCCGTGCACGGGTGCCCACGTCTGCACTCCGCTTGATTCAGCGTCATGTGCTGCTAACGGAATAACACATTCGAGTATTGACAGCCATTCGATGTACTTTCCGTATGCAGTAAATTATTCTGTTTCTAACAATTGCATACTTAGATCTGCCGCGTCTATCAGATATGTTCAATGTACACCTTGAAATCCCTAATCAGGTAATGTTAAGCGGTCGTAAGTTAAATTCGGTTACTGGGTCATGCACAGCGAGTGCTAAATCAGCCAGCAGAAGTTTCTATTCTATATAGTAAGAAGAAAAGTGGAACTTCCCTTACCTTAGTAACTTCGCTGTTGGGCGGTTTGCTTTTGTTGCCTACAGCGACGTACCAATCAATGAGCTCTCCCATTTGCTGCAAATGCGGCGCCAGCCGCGGCACCATCATTACGATCAGCAACGAAATGACGAATACCAAAAAGGGAGAAGGAACAGAAAATAACACCCCAATAACAATCAGGTCGCGTAGGTCACTTGACTAAGGCTGCAGCTGACCTAGGAACATACGCGTTGGCTGTTTGTTGGGGATACAGTGTGTAGTCACCAGATACATGGGGGATTCATTTATCGTCAAGATATATATAGGTTGTACATGTAGAAACAAGGTCTATTTAGCAAAGTGGATAGCCAACGCACAACTGGCTGGTATGCTTGCTCGACTACATGCATGCAGAACCCACCCGCAGAAGTTACTGAGAGAGGTCGGTCGCCAGGTTTGTGTAGGGATAGAGAAATGCCGCGAGGGAAAATGCGGATAGTAACAAGGACAGAAATAGTTTGGAAAAGTGTACGTATATTGTGCAACAAATAGGGTTAGAAAAAAGTGCTCAAAAAAAACGTACCCACCTTTACATAGGTCCTCTCGGTGTCCACCAGTTCGAGGATGACCTTGCGGAGCTTTTCCGCGTCGGACATCTGCTTCGTGATTGTGGTCTGCGGTGTGGGACCTGCGAACGAGGCGGACGTCGGATATTGCCCTAATGAGCCCGTTTGGCCCAAGGCCGATCCTGGTGCCGCCTGCACCGATTGGAGGTTGATTTGGGAACCGCCCAAACTCGACCTCCGACGATCACCGCCCCGGCAATATTCCGTCACTTGTTCGGCAGTTTTTTTGCATGAATCCTCAATGACCTTAAGCAGCGATTCCATTTGTTCATTAGACAGCCCTGCTGCTCCGGGTGGTTCGCACACTTGAACTGGCGACGGTGTTGGCCTACCCGACGTATCGGGAGACCGAGTCTCTTGTGAACCCCAGATTGGCGACGGTACGATCAACTTTCCAATCATCTCTTCTGATAGTACGTCATCGCACGGGGGAGGTGGACATACCTGTAACGAAATTGTCGCAGCAGCAGCAGCTAGTTGTGGATCATCACCGACATTATCACTCTGGTTGAAAGGATTAGGATTGTGATCTTCGTCGATACTGTACATCGCTGCAACAGGCCACACGTCGGCTCACGTAAGCTAGGGGTACCTAGATAGGGCTGTATGTGTATAACACTGCCACGTATGTCGATACAGTGAAATATCGCAGAGGCGGCTTGATGCGTGCCGCACTCTGTTGCTGGCCCAACGTAAACTAATCAACTATTTTCTCCTGTCTAGCCAGCTAGCTTTTCCCATGTTAGCTAGAAGCGCTCCGTGCTATGTCAGCTATCTGCTACAGCACTATATTGATCACTACCACTGGCAAGCGAGTGTGGGGGGCGAGAGCTTAAGCAACGAAAGCGTTTCGGTGATGTTAGCGATAATAGTGGCAATGGTTCACACGTTGACGATATATATGCGTGCGTGCGCAGAGTTCAGTTAGTTGCGCGGACTATCCAACTCAGCTAACTGAAAATAAACAGCAATAGCCCTTCGAACAGACCTCCGGCCAGACTGATTGACGGAGAGAGACGAATAACCATTAGAAACGGTGCCAAACCAGAACGCATTTAAAATGAGCGAACTGCCAACTCGTTCCGCTTCACACTTTTTGTCGGCAACCTGCCTGCTTCGAGCTGATAGCCTACTATCACCGCAATCAAGGAACGAGAGGGGTTGTCATCAGCAGAAAACCCGATTGACGAGCAAATAGTGGGTCACATACCCATATACGCACAGAAAGGATGTTAGCGTAAAGCAACGAAATGTGTATTTACCATTATTGTGTGCTCTGTCCCCGTTATTCAGTAGGTGCTACTACTAGCTACGTTATATAGCTTTATTTCAGTCTCGCTCAGCCTCTCACTTTATCTCTGTCACACTTTGGTCCGTACGATGTGAACAGGTGCTTGTCGCCTCGTTTGTATAGCAAAATATTATAATATTTACGTACCAATGATTCGATGTAGTTGTCGGCAGATCGGATGCTGCATGATCCAGTGGCGATATCCGGGGCCTCCATCCGTGACGATCGGACCATCATGCAGAGTGAGAGTTCTTCTTGTAGCACCGACTCGATGAACATCATGTCGAGGTCGGCCACGATTGCCCCGTTGATCACCATAATCTCGTCGGCCTTGATTAGGCCCTGGCTGTGTGCCAGGCTGCCCTCCTCAACTCGTGACACGTATACACACAACTCGTCTTGATGGTCGCTATTTTCCGACAACTCGGCTTCAACCGAGAAACCAAACAGCTGGTCCGTCGTTGTCCGCGAAAGCTCTACCTGGTAGAGCACTTTCGGGCACACCTCAAGCGCCTCGAACAACTGGACGGTAGTGGTAAAGACGGGGGCAGTAGGGAAAAGGAGAAAAAGAAACGACAGCCGAAACCAGTGATTTAATAAGCAATGACTCACTGATCAACGGCCATTACTCTAAGTAGCTCGTCTCGCGGTTTCTCCAAAGACGGAAGGTTACGATAGTACGAAACAAAGCAACTGAGAAAATCTCTTCAAGGGAGTTAGAACGGAAGGGTAGCAATGTCGAAAAAGGCAGCTTCGGATTTGCGAGTCTTTTAGCCACTATCGTCAAAGGGCAAAGTCTGTTACTAGCGTGTGCTGTTTCGCAACATTTCGTAGCTTCTTGGTTCGTGTTGAATCTCTGGAAATTCAGGCTCTTTCAAGTGTCCTGATCACTATATGACCTACGCACAACAAAAAATTAGACCTACGGACGGGTCCTACGGATTTGTCCAGTCGCCAACGTCTGCCGGACACTGTTACCATTATACGAGCTTACTCTGTAGCCACTCACCAGGTTATCCAGGAGTTTCGTACGAGGAGCGACGTAATATTCTGGACTGTCAAGAGATGCTTGGAAACGCAAAAAGTAGTCGTTGGCTGAAAGTTGGCCTTTTGTGCACGCGGACACTAGCAGTTCCTCGACGGTGATCCCGTCGCGGATCGCCAGTAACGCACTCTGGCATTCGGGCATCGCGATCTCAACTGTCATCAGTACCGTAGTGGATATAGAAGGCATAGAGAAAAAGGATCATCTGTTTGGGCTATATTCAGCATACTAATCTGTACCTGATAGGAAAAAACTCCACTAGACTAAAAATTCTGGTTTAAACCTGGCGCCTACTGCCATGTCCGAAACCTACAGACACCAATTAGCTTGTCCTTCCGCGACTGTTAATTAGAAAATATCTTGTATCGTACTAAATGAATCCTATAGTATAGTATGTCTGTGCTATAATAGTGTGTCAGGTTCTTAAAAATGCCGGTCTTGTCGAAATTTTTATTATTATAGCTATATCGGTAAGCCAACACTAATACCCATTGGACTGGTGTATACCAGTATATTCTGAATAAAATTAACCTCAGAATCGGACATCGATTCAGTTAACAGTGGACGCGAAGATCTCGCGAAGAAACTCCGGAATGTTCGGTACTCATACCGAACATTCCGGAGTTAAACAACAAGCAAATAGAACAGTGAAACGCGGCCAAGTTCGAGCTGTTTTTCCCATCTAAAAATGTCCTAGGAATAAAAGACGAAAGGGCAGGGGTTATCTTTTCCCCTGTGCCACTTTCAAACTAGGACACAACGTCCGCTCCGTCTTCCAGCGGGAAAAACGCCGAAAGAAATTGCGTGCTAACGAACGTAATGAAACGACGTACACAGTAAAACGTTTGTATTTGTAAGAACAGGAAGGACTGGCTTGTTTTAAGTATTGCGTAAGATCGTACGAAGTAACGTTAGCATTCAGTTTCAGCTCAACTGCAGTGTACAAAAACAGGTTGAGCCGCCGATAAATCACGTAGCTGATATAAAATAGTGTTCTTTTAACCAAGGAGCAAAAATGTATAAATAGAACGAATAGCGCCAATGGTCGCTCTGCATATAACGAGACGGCACCTGAAATGAAAAGCGGGTTCAACTTCCAGATCAGTTAGTTTCCACTTTTGAGTTACATCCATGTAATACTTCGATAGGCTACAAATAAAACAATATCTTTCAATATTCACATACCTGTCCGTTCCCCGAGTGAAGGGATGTCGCTGGAATGTGTTGACGACTGAGTGTTGAGGTAACGAGAGCTGACTGATCGAGATAGCGTATTCTGTCTTGAGGAAGCCGAGCGTCTTTTAGAGGCACTTCTTCCCGCCAGTAGGTTGGACAGAATCGACGGACTACGCGCGCAGATGTACGCGTGAAACGAAGACACAGTGAACACGCCCAATTGATTGAGTGTTGACTTTGTCGCCTTGGAGACGTGCGTCAGAAGGTTTTTTGGGTTAGGCAGCTCCTGCACCTGAAGGGAAGCCATGTAGCACCGAAGTCGGAACTGCTCACAATGCAGCCGTTCAAGATTGGCCTCCCACTGGCCGATTTGCTCAGTCAACGTCTGCCGGCTAGCAGCGTCAGCTACGACGGTAAGTTGCAGTTCGGCCATGTGCTTCAATTTGGCATCCTGTAACAACAGAGACGACAAAGCAATTATTTGACAGAAAAAGCAAAATGAAAATACACAAACGCTAAGCGATTCTGCTACGAGAGAGATCGTTAACAATACGAACGTATTCACGTTCGTATGTCTAACAAAACCTATATTTATTTGCTGTTTTTAATGCATCCAACTCAGACTGGTATACTCGATGGGTACTCGCCGTCACGCACGACCAATATATGCGCAAGCGGGAAGTGCCAGCAGACCCAGTAAAATGAGTAACATCGCCCGTTGGCTGTGTAGATCCTTTTCCTTGAACCTTTATTCAAAAGATGAACAAGCAAAAGAGTCCTCTCATCGATCTACATACATATATGTTTAATGTTACAAGTTTCTATATATATGATGTTACGAGTCGGTTGTTCCTTGTTTGATTTTGTTCCTTTTGTGTTTTCCCCGTTCGCTGACACGGGTAGCAGGACGGAGTAGAAGAATCTCCGAATCTAGTAAACGATGTAACTTACGTGACTGAATCCGCCGGTGCTTTCTGTTCGCGTATATTTATCGTACGTGACTAGATGGCAAGTACACATAAAGACTAGCAGTCTTCATGAAATGCTTGCAGAACATCCTGCTGGCAATAATGAAAGATTGTACGCGCCAAAAACTTATTTCTGCAAAAACTCCAACTTCGACGACCGTCAGATTACTGGCGCTACCGCGCTAACGATCGGATAATCTGAGTGGCTAGCAGCGCTAGGGCACAACAATCAAATGCCATATATGTATCTATGCACTTATGCCGACGGAGGACTATGTTTTCGCTGGTGTTTTGTTATGGCCTGCACAAAAAGTCTTTAAAGAAGTGCAAATTTATTGCCAAGTTTTTTAGGTGTTGAGAACGATTCCATCCTGCAAATTTCTTTATCCTTTTACATGTGTTTTAACAAAATTGCATATCTTCCTTTAATAGTATATGAACTATGTACTGTGTGTACATTCAGTGCTTTCGAGAATACTGTCGTTGTTTTGATCCAAGATGATAACTGCGAATTTTCATTTTCGTACAAAGGATACGTGCTATCTCTCTAACAAACAAGGAGCAAATACGTTGGTGTTCTTTTTTTTATCCTAATATGTGTAAAAGGTCACCGTATCATGCCGACGATACGAAAAGGAGGCAAAAGTTTCACAGTTCGAACGGCGTGATACTCGAACGCGCCACTACATCGACGTTATACCTTCGTCTCATTCATTAGCTGCTGCACTGCTTACTGGCTAATTTGGTGCTTCGTTATAAAGTGTTGTTTATGTTACATAAAGCTATCATGGAATTTTTAGCTTACCTTCAAAATGATTCGGCCTTAAAACTTTCGTGTCTGAATAAAGCTTATTCAAAGCTCGAATCTGGATCAGTTTGATGTCTACGCTCAACAAATCGCGTGTTGGCTTTGGTTGTACTTAGAGACTTAAAGGGGAGCAAAGACCAACTGGACCGTACGAGTAGGGCTGCACGACCTGTTAACAGACGCTCGATTGGAGAGCGCGTCGATGGCTTAACAACTATGGTCAAATTAAATGGGTCCAGAAGTAAATGCGGGAGAAGCTTAGAGTGTGATCCGTCTCCTCGTATAAACTAGATGAAAAGCTGAGCGTATGGAAATACAAGGGACGCTGGGGAAGAGATTCACCGATTATCAATTTTAAAACGTGTGACGACGCACAAACGTCATCGTTTTCTACCTTACTGCTTCGCTGGACTACCGAGCGTCGTTCGTCAAACGCGTTCACTTTGCTCCTACCTCATTGTCAAATGTCATCGTGTCGTTTCGGCAGATGACTTTCTACACAGGGTCAGCAAACAGGCGAACGAGACTATCGAGTGATAGTAACTTTGTAATCCTTCCCATTAACGATATGCGTGTTTGTGTGTGTAGGCATGGCAACAGTTGTGCAGTCAATGCAGCCGACAATGAGAAGTTGAGACGAAGCTCCCTTCTTTACTATCTAATGTTCAAGTTACTATATTTTTCTGTGTGTAGGTAGATTCAGCTGTCTAGCTTAAATTAACGCATTAAAATGCAGCAATTTCGGGCGATGACAACGGCTACGATAACAGCGATGACAATAATGTCATGGTCTAGGGAGGAAGATATTCAAATTTCAATAACCTGCTCACTCAGATCCTTCTTCGAGGCTGTAAGTTTCAGGCAACCAGCGTTGCGCAGGGCTAGCAAAACGAGGACGGAAACGATCCGGCTGGTAGTAGTAGCAGCAGAAGGCTAGCTAGCTAGTTTTTATGAACGTTAGCCGATCTTTTCGTATCTTGACTTGGTATTCGAGTAACAAGGGCTGACAATCTTGTAGCGAAATACCAAAATTTATGCCCAGTCAAGGAAACCTTGGCTCGCTTCTATAGGAACGTCAAGCAAGAGAACTTCCGAGGACGCATTAATCCTCGTTCCCCTCATACTGCTGGCAGTGCCGCAACTTTTTCAGGTGTACCTCCCACGACTCATAATGAAAATGCAGGTAACAGCGGCGACAAAAAACGCAGTGTCGACGGGGTCGCAAAAACTTACACTTACATAACGCATACTCGGCTGGTCGGCCAGTCGGCCGCTGCGGCAAGCCTGACAATAGTAGAGACAGCTATCTTACCTGTCATCGGCCACGATTATACCAGTTACAATATCGAGAATAAGCAGGCCACAGTAACAAGCACTATTGAAGTACAGCAATGTACTGCAAGGCGTATGCATGAACGATAGCTGCACGCGATCGCCCTGACTAGACTCAAACTATAGATAGAAGGGAGCCTTAGTGTATGTTGCAGGCGATCGAGCAGTAAGGTTCGCGCACTTCGCGAGGTGAAAGCTGTGGGGTTTAAGTCTAGTCTTCGCCTTCCAGCATCGAACATCGTAGAGGAGGCAAGCAAGCAGGTTTTAGGAAAATAACTAAGCTGAAGCTCAAATATTTCGCGTACCAGTTTCATTTCAACCTAGCAAGTAATGAACGGCAGGGGACGAAAAAATGAAGGCCTTGGACACGAAAGCACCGTTGGTCGACCATCAGCTTCCACCGGTTCCGTCTAGTCCCAAACAGCTTAGTGGCTGCACTCAATCATAAAAGAGAATCAGAGGAGCACGGGACTGGCTTTTTCCCTTATTCCTCGTCGCAGTTCTTACTTGAAAGCTTCTTTTTAGAGAAGATGATAAGAGGCGAGCACCACCAGTTGAAGCAGTCGGGGCATTAATCCGATTATGACTGCAGCAGCGAGCGTGTCCGCCCTTGGCTGCTTGGCTTGTCAGTCGATCCTCACCAATTCTCAAAAATAATGAGTGCAATTCGAAAAAAAAAAAAAGCAGCAGGGAAAATATGGATGAAGAAAAATTATTATAGTACTGTGTTATTTCCACTGTGCACTAAGCTTTCACATATAAAAGGAAAAGCTTGCTAGCCGACTGCCCGCCGGATAGTTATGCACTGAAGGGTGGTGGCTCACTGACGACATTAGCTAATAAGTAAGGTGAACGCTGACGCTGAATGAGCGCATAGAGAAATCTAGCTTATGTTAACACCATGGGAGAATAGTACTAGGAAAGAAACACGAAGAAATTAGTTACTGTATTGTACGTCGCGTAAAAAAACAGGCTGGTTGAATTTCTTTAGGCATAAGTTCCTGTCACAGCAGAAACAGCACCCAACATAACAAAATAAAGGCCAAGTCCCTTTTGAATATAATATATATAGTACAACGTTCATATGACAATGTTCTCTTGTCTTGGTCCAGGCGTTTAATCAAATCCAATAGTCAAAGTTGCATACCTTGGTGCCACCCCAAGTGGTTAAATTCCTCCCCTATGAGAGCGTTTCACAGAGCCTGCGGACAGCATCAGCCCCCGGGTAGCGTCATTTAGATAAGCGCTTTTTTCTCTACAAATAATTTTCGACGCAGTAGTGGAAAACGACTAAGCAAAGTAGCAAGAAAGGGAATGTCTGAGAAGGTGGGTTGGCATAGTCTTTTGGCAAAAACCTCAGCCGACGTATCGTTTCGCTAGATTGTAGTTGAGAAGGTTGATCGTCAATTTGCCTGTGCTCATCGTTCAACGTACATTTTTAACATGAGCGACAAAGCAAAGACATTTTCCTTTTTGTTTCGCTCTCCCATGCGTGTGTCGGGTTATCGGAGTTTGATTGTTTCAGAAGACTCGTTGCCTTTTAGGGGACCCAACCGGGTCGAACCCCAAGTCTCTGGCCTCCGCTGTCTTTCGTGTTCAGTCGTATATGCTAAAGTCAGGGAAAGCAGAATAGAGGAGTAACGAGGAGGTGAGAACATAGCGAAGTGTGACTGCGTAAGGACCTCCGGATCTCCCAGGTGCCCTCAACTGAAGCTTTAGAAAGCGTTACTCACAACGATTTCTACGAGAGAGGAATGATAAGTTCGGCCTCCTTTTTGAGGCGCAAATCGGTAAAAGATCATCGACACATGGTAATCTTCTTTTTTGCTTCCTTTCATTTTCTTTTCGCTTTTTATCCTTCTGCTGCTGCAGGCACTAGTACAACTACGGCCCGTTATTCCACGTCTATCTTGTGCGCTTTTCTCAAATGGTTCTTTCCGGCAAAGAGCAAAAACGCTCTGTGGCTGGTAGGTCCGGACGAGTAAGCAAGCGCCACCGTCATTCCAACTCGGTATCACTACTCCACGCTCGTCCTACTTCACTAGAGTCCGGCCGCTACCCGTTACTGCCCCCTTGCAGTAGCTACCCGACGGAGCTTCAGCCAACAGCTACCTGATTCGCTTGAAGCACTCTGTTCGCATTCCTCATCTACGAGCGTCGTCTCTATGTCCGTTTCAGTGTCTTAACGCAAAATGGCAAGCAGTAATGGAATAGTCTTGGTGGTGCAAATATACGGAAAGAATGAGGAATGAACTGATAAAAAGTCCCTATGAAAATTTACCCTACAGTTGCTCGTTTTTGCTTTTCTGCAAAGCTTTTATATTATTTAGTGCCCTAATAAAA